GCTGTTCTGTTTTATTTACTTGAGATACTGGGTGGTGACTCACCGACCGTAAACATTGTTATAATTCACAGATGAAAAAACCCGTCTTCAAGAAGAAAACCCAGAGCTTTGTCGTCGATGGCAATCGGTTGCCTGGAAACCCATAGTGCACTTTGACGTCACTACTGGATGACGTCAAGGCGGAGACCAACCAAACTCGATAGATTTATAGCCAAGAGGAAATCACGCTGGCCTTGCGATGCTTGAGTGATACATGCGCGCTTCGCGCGCGACGAGATTATAAACCTCGCGGCTCGGCGCTTCGCGAGGAATGATAAACTTTAAATTATTACGAATGTATTGTTTGGATTGCGTTTTAATTAACACTGAGAAAAATTTCACTCTTATATATTTTATTGTTTTATTATAGTAACAGTAACATTATGTTTTCTTGAGTTCAAAATTACCATTCCTACATAATTGATGATCACGCTTTTCAGCTTGACTGCGATGAATAGCCTGCTAGCAGGCTTTGCCATTCGAGTGGAGAGCGAAGCGCCCGGCCCCCCGGGGCGCCGGAGGGGTGGGTAAGATAGAGGGACTTGCAACCACTACCGAAAGATTTTAAATTTTCACTTAGCCAGGACGAAGCTTACTGCGTAGAAGGAAACAAGCAGAGGAAGATAAGTTCGACATATTAACTGAAACACGTGTTTTTTTTTTCCGTTTGAGCTTTTATTATAGCATTTACTGTATTTTGGTAGCCTGCATGGCAGGCTAGTATTTTGGAGAAAATTTGAACTACCCTGGGTACCAGAGGTTTCTCTCGCGTGCGGCGGGAAATTTAGGTGTTGGCCGAAGACTTGACAGAAACCGGAAACCACGCTAGAAAAGTCTCTGTCACCCAGGGTAAATTTGAACCGCCATAATGTGCATCTGTTTTTCTTCTTTACATGCACTTTAAATTGATGCTGATCAGTTTTCAATTATAACAACGACCACACGAACTTGAAATGAGGGTGATCTTCCTGTGCTTAATTTCCGCCCACTTCGCGCTGCAGTGAACATGGCGTTTTCTTCCGCAAAAGGAGGCATTCATTTTAAATGCTATGCTGAATGTTGCTCCATCCTTAATCTCATTAAATTAACTTCACTTTTCCTCATAAGGTTCACAATTATCTCTCGCATTATTAATCTGGTCAGCCGTCAACGATACATCGTAAACTTGCAAACATGAGATACGACCTTGATAATTTCTTTTGTCCCCATCCCGAGCTCCCATTCTAATGCTATAATTGGTTGCGAGTTCAATATGACCCAAGTTTTTGGAATCCTCAAACTTTCCGTTTATCCACAAACCAGCTGCTCCAGTAGTGTGGTCGTAAGTGGCACCGACAAAATTCCACTGATTTGGAATAACTTTAGTACTTTGCAACGGTGCCACTTTGCTGATTTTGTGCTGGCCTCGTTCCACGAAATGAGCGAATAACTTTCTTGATTGTGCTAGCCACAGATTCGCTCCCCATCCATCTGTCTTAAAGTTGAAGATTGGTCCTTCCTTCTCGGGGAAAATCCACGCGAGAATCGTTAAGGAGTCCTTTGTATCAAGTTTTCCGTCATTTGGAAACTCGATGTAGCTCTCCGGTATCCCAAGGAAAGAAACCGCACCACCTTCGTGGCCATCCGGACCCGTCGCTGTTATCACTAGGTTCGTTATCCCGGGGGGATTTCCTCCAATGACGTCCCTCGCCTTGTAGCGGGCGTTCAATGGAAACATGGCCACTGGTCGAATGTTGGCTTATAGAAAAAAGCACAATAAAATTTTAAATGAGATTTTCTAACCGACTAATCAATTATATGTCCTTACATTAGATTGCACAATATTGCACTCAAAAGCCTCAATTACTTAGAGTCATCTAATATACTCTATATGCACTTATTTATGTGCATTATAAAAAAATTTTTTGCTTGTGAAATCAAGCATGAAGAGGACGAAATGCTTTCAGTAGCCTGCTAGCTGGTGGCACCCTGGGCACAAGACTCCCGCCAGCTACGCAGGCTAGGCTTTTTGGAGGTCACCTACGATACCTAGTTCTTCAAAGAACCAGACGAAAGACCTATGCATAGGCCCTGTCTTGAAAACCTTGATTTCCACTCCTATGCAGATTCAACTTGCAATATAGAAATATCAATTCAAATCGATACCTTGACAGACTTTGCCTTTAATTGCCTTTACAACGAGTCCCATCTGGGTGACGTCTGCTGAAAACACGTGACTAGTAATGTTGTCTGTAGCCATTTCGTCGAGTTCAGTTTGGTTGAAATTATTTCCAACTCCAACACAAAACACGGTGACACCAGCATCTTTAAGAGCCTTTGAAGGAGCTAAGACGTCCTTACTTGATTTTCCTGATGTTACGACAATTAAAATACGAGGTACTTCTTGTCTAGGGGAGGCATCAAATAGTTCGGTCTTAACAAGTTCCAGCCCGGTACCAATGTCAGTGACACCTCCCATATACTGTATATCATCTATGGCATTCTCCACACTCTTTTGGTCAAAATATGTCTTGAAATTGAGGACGACTTGAGAGTTAGTGGAGACTACGACGAATCCGATATGGGATTCCACTTGGTTTATCACAAACATACTTGCAATGGCTTTGGCAAATTCTAGACTTGTTTTGAAGTTTTGCTGTCCATTAGAGTCCTTGTTTCCCGAAGCATCAATGAGAAATGCCAAGTCTACCTTCTCCCTGCAGACTCCAGAACCTGTTAATCATAGAATGAAAGAGATTATCAAACTTGCTTGTTTGATGGGTTGTCTTTTCAAAAAGTAATTCCAACTTATCAGCTCTTTTATACAATCATTTATCAGGAATTTTGCTGGCTTTCATTCACGATACGTGTGTAACATTTAGTATCGTAATAATTATTATCATCACATGTCAATAACAACACTATCTTCAGTGTCATCATTATCCCCATCATCATCTTCATTATTACGATAACTATTATAGTAATCATTAAAAGTATCATTTTCACTATCATTATCAGCATCATCCACGTCATCTTTGTGAGTAATTATGGTAATAATTTTCAACATCATTCTCAATGTCACCATCACCATCACCATCATCTTAGGCCCAATTCAAACTACGTCGCATTTGGCATGTGCCAAAATTAATAATAATGAGAAAAATCGATTGTTCTAGCCCATTTGTATTACATTGGACACGTGAAATGCGACGTTTTCTGGTCTCTTAGCCGTCGTTATCATGCATAAACCACATAATATTCATCGTCCTTCTTTTTGTTATTGTCCTCCCTGGAGGGAGTGGATTATAGTCTTAGAAAAACCTACTATTGTTATTTATCATCATATTATTGCCATTGAAAGACACACCTAGAAGACTACCCGACCACAGATTTTCTTGGGCAAGCTTGTCTGTATCCTGGTCCACTGTGATAGACAAGGGGTCTCCTTGCTTTGTAGAACCTTTCGATGTACTACCCGAAGTGATTTTCTTCCCAATAGTTATCAACTTTTTTCCAGACGATATCCGAATCGACGAGCTTGAACTACTGCCACCTTCCTTCATTGTAATAATTCCGGAACTACTTCCTCCAGAACTGCTACCACTACTTTCACCATTAATGCTAATAAGTTTGGAACTACTTCCTCCGGAAGTTGAGCTGCCACCACTTTTTCCGCCTTTGATAGATATATACTTTGAGCTACTTCTACCGCCTCCTCCACCTAAACGATAAGAAAAGAACTCTGTCCGAATGCAAAGATATTGCAATCACAGCTACGATTTTCATCGGCTCAACTCACAATAATGTGTAAAGTTAATTAGTTTGTAAACTTCAATAGACGCGGTTGAGACTCCCTGAGGCCAGTTCCTCACATGCCCAACCCGTCTGCGTGAACATTTCAATCCGGACTCAGTCATAAGTCCTATTTATGCCGTTTGCAAAGCAAACTAAATAAGAAGAAAAAAGTCACTGCAAAGCTGCAAACAGCTGTCTGGCATTAGGTTTCAGGGTTTGCCTGAAATTTTACTGTCACGTTATGACCAGTGTACTGATAAGTACCGAATCAGTAGCCTCATCATTTCTATGCAATTTAATAACGCAGAATTTGATTCTGATTTTGCTTCAAAAATGTCACTGTTTTATTAAATTAGCTTGGAATTACAGTGTATGCCAAAGTATTCTAAAATAATTTTCTATAAACCAACATGGACGAAGATGGATGGAGTGCGCTTTCTTGGATTTTTTATTTACTCTTTAAAAACTCATTAATAATTCATAAAGAAAATTCAAAGGAAATTAATGTTTAATGAGTGTTTGGATATCTGATGAAAAACTGCTCATTTTTGCATCCTTAATTTCTCCTTCAAAAATGACTTTGTTTGAGAAGAAATATCAAACATTCGACACAGTGTTTCATCACCAAATGAAACACCTCGAAGTTCGTCAAAAATACTCCGCTGCACGTCGTATTTTCAACTCTCTTCTCGGTGTTTCATCTGGTGATGAAACACTGCATCTCATGTTTGATATATTACTTTAAAAACTAACTTACCCAGTTGCTGTATTTTCCCTCCTATATCTGTGTAAGAAAAATCAGAAGGCATCTTGCGCTTGAGAAAACATATAGCAGTACAAACAACAAATATAGAAAGAGGAGAAATCCTCCCATGAAAAAATTACCTTATGCTTATGTAGCCTGAATGCAAGCTCTCCATTTGGAACTCGCATAAAGATAAAGGGTCGAAGGAAATCTGCGATTGATCCGCGATAAATTAGTGCGGAGATGCTAAGATTCTCCGAGGCAAGCAACTCGTGTGCAGCCTGACCCCTCGCCTCCCGCCATTCCCGGCGAATTGGAGATCTTGCATGCAGGGTGAAGCCATGTTATTGCCAGATATTCTCGGTTTTTTAAAAAAATGGGAGGATTGCATTCGCTAAACAAAAGTTTACTTCCTAAAATGGCTAAGACGCTAAATTGTGAGCACTCACCTTTACAAGCAATTTCCACGATCTTGTCGATAATTGAATCAAGTGCATCAAAATCGGCATCCAATACATGTTGCGAGTCTGGATCCGTCGCTATATCCTGAAGTTGTTTCTTATCGTATTTATTGCCGATTCCCACACTAAACACAGTACAACCAGAGTTCCTCAGCTGTTGCGCTGGGGCCCCAACGTTATCCTGTGATATGCCATCTGTAATGACGATGGCAATGTTGGAAACTCCAGCACGAGCACTTTTCTCAAAGAGTTCTAATTTAGATTTGGTAAGTGCTGCTCCAATCTTTGTATTACCGCCAGGATAACTGATTCCCTCGATGGTGGACAGAATTTCTGATTTTGTATAATGTTCATCAAGTCCTGATATCACCTACAGAAGAGAAGCATCGTTTTGTTACCATGGTTACTAGTCCATAGCATAAACATCTACTTTACCTTTGCTGAGACACAAGTGCACCTTCAGTTAACTCCTTTCGCAGATTTTCGCGCCATAGAGTTAACTTAAGCCGTGTAGAGTAGAGATTCACTCGGGTGTACACTCGGAGTAAAAGAGGTCATTCTCATCAGACGTCCATCGATCCCACAGACCGTGATAACAGATTTTTTATTTCTAAGGTGTGGATGCCAGCGATCACGAATCGCAACAAGGAAAGTTAGTGCAACAAATCAAAAATACTCACTTTTCACAACCCACCATATATACGTTTACTGTTTAATCGACCTTGTAAAACCAAGGCGAATATAATAATAATGATGATAATAATAATAAGAAGAAGAATAATAATAGTAATAATGATGATGATGATGATGATAGTAAAGTTTATTAACAGCATTTCCAGTACAACACAGCCTTACATCTGTTAAGAAACAAAATATTTATATGTAATGGAACATTCGATAACTCGAACTCGGATAACTCGAATTCCCCGATAACTCGAACTGTTTTTTTGTTTCACTTCAGAGTTCGAGTTACCGTAAATTAAGTACATATATATCTGAAATTACATTACTACAAAAAATTGTTGTCCATGATAAACGCAAATAGGTGCTGCGATACAGAAATAATATGCAGTCTAACCTCTCCTTACAGACGCCTCTCTATAACGGACAGTTCGTTTGGTCCCAGAAATATCAAAAATCATACATTCCATATCTCTATAATACGGACACCTCTGTAAAGCGGACACTTGGTTCTGTCCCTTTGGTGTCCATATTAAAGAGGTTTGACTGTAGTGTGTTTAACAAGATGAATTTTAAAAAGATATAGTTTTAAGTAGTGGAGTAAATCAGATTTATCTCGCAAGTGAGTTTACCTTCGGTTCCTGGTTATAGACAATGATTCCTACATGGGTTTGTTCTTTAGATATGTCAAAGGCTTGTGTGATGCCTTTGACAAAGTTTAACTCCTTTTTAAAGTTCCCTTTACCAGCAGCTTCTATGCTTCCCGAGCCATCAATAATAAACCCTAAGTCAACTTTTGCCTTGCATTCTGCGAACAGATACATATAGTAAGTAATTATTTCGTACAAACAGCTGCCACGACATGAGAATTACTCCACAAAGGTGGTTCTGTAAGTAAGTAAGTACTTAGCTGGTTGGTAGGGAAGTAATTATAAATAAGTAATAATAAGCAATAATAGGTATCCCAAGTATGTAAAAAAAGTTAGTAAGTAAATAAGCATTTAAGGCAGTATGTAGGCAAGTATAAATAAGTAAGGAAATAAGTAAGTAAGTAACGTCCATATTAAAGAGGGCAACAATACCTAAGAAAAGCTCAGTAACTAACTTTTCTAGAATTTAGCAACGCAACTGTCGTAACTGCTAGCTGCATGGATTGCAAGAAATGGAAGGGCACTAGAGTGTCTAAGTCTCTTTTAATGTATCCGCTGGTGTACCTCAGCCAAATGAAAAAGGAGTCCAGTTAGCAAACTTCAAGATCACAAAATCTTTCAAAATAGAATTGTTGCATTTATCTATAACTAAATACCTTTAGATGCAATTTTTGTTAATGTTCCCCCAGCCGCTGTAAAAGAAAGGTTGAGAAGTTAGGAAACTGTTCTGTTAGCAAAGATTCCCTCTCCCTAATCCTTTTTTTTTATATATATAGTATAAAAATGGCGGTGTTGCTAGTTGAAAAGCTAAAAAACATACTAAAAAAACTTAAATTAAAGGTACTAGAAACTCGCTTCATAGGTGTGGCACAGATTCGCTTAAACCCCTAGCAAGTATCAAAAAATCCGTTGAACAACAAATAATGGGGCGGTAGTTCAGAAAAGTTCTCTGGCCTGACCCCCTCGGAATCCACAAAAAGTTAAGGCAGTAGCTATGTTAAAGGTAATTTGAGATTAAATCACCCTACGTGGTACCAATCCAAACAACTGGTCATTTTTTATTGGGTAGTACCTCTGGAATGTATTACTTTTTTGGTAACATCTAAATATACTTAGCGCCGGTAAACTTAAAGGGACAATCGGTTTCAAACGGTAAAGTAAATTTTTTCGTCGGTGCCTTTGTGTTGCTCTTCAGCTTAATCACTCTCACCTTCGCAACATATCTTCTTTAATTTGGGTAACCAGCCGAAGATCTCGCTATAGTCTCCTGTTAGAACAAATTTGGAATCTGGATCCGTTGCCATCTGTCCTAGTTGGTCTCTTTGGTATTCTTTTCCAAGTCCTAAGCAGAAAATTGTCACTCCCATGTCTCGCAGCTCCTTTGAAGGTGCTTGTATGTCATCCTTTGCTCCACAAAAGAAACAAATTGTGACTTCTTTTTTAAGCAGCTGATTATCACGATAGATGTTATGATAATGACGATTTTAGCAACAAATTATGAAGATGATGGTGCTGTTATTGATGCTGCTGCTACTGGTGATCATGATCATGATGTATTAGCCAGCGGTTAAAGCTTGGCGTCTCTCACTGCTCGAGAAGGGCGATTGGTTCGGTGACCAATGAGAGACGACAGTATCCAAAGGCTCATAATGATGACTGATGATGATGATGAAGATGATAATGATGATGACGATGATTTGGATGATTATGATGATTCTCTTAAATGTTGCACCTTTTGTAAGGGTTAGATTATGTAAGAGGGTAGGAATTTCTTGAGTTGTGTTGTAGATACCTCTACGGATAATTGCCATTTGGGGATTTATTCAAGCAATCTTGAAGAGATGCTTTAAATGTCTTATACAGGTAAAAAGTATTTTAAAAGGTTTAAAGATTACACAAGGAAAAAGGTAGTCAATGTCTTTCATCACGCTTTTGTAGGTTAATGGAAAGAGGTACCTTTTTGGTCAAAAGAGTTATATAAAAGCGTAAGCGGAGCTTCCTGTAGAAAGGTTTGTTGAGTATCCTACCCTCTTTCCCACGACTTATCCACCACCACAGACCCTAGAACACTTCTTACCTGAGAGGATCCACCGGTGATAACAAGGAGTACGTCCCTCACTCCTTGTCTAGCGCTCGCCTCAAACAGATTAGTGCGCACCATATCAAGACCAGCTCCACAGTTAGTACCTTTTCTGGGATACGGTATTTTGTCAATAGCCTCTGTTATAGACTTCTTATCAGTATACTTCTCGAAATCGAATCTGACTTCAGAAGTTTTGGAAAACAACACAAGTCCTACTCGTGTGCCATCTTTTGCAATGTTGAAAGAGCTGAAGAAACTTTTCAAGAATTGTTGGCATTTTTTAAAGTTTCCGGCCTGCTGGTAGTCGATTCTCTGAGAGCCATCAAGCAGAACAGCAATGTCCACTTTACCTTTGCATCCTGCCAGAAAGTGGTTTTTAGAGGTCAATAATGTTAAACATTCTTTTAAAGGGGCTAAAGCGCAAGCGTCATCAGCTGATACCTTCGTTGCAGTCAAGTGCCTGCGCTTTTCCTCTTTCACGATTCATTCTTATTTCCCCTTTATTTATCGTACTTTTGTTTCAGTGCCTAAATTGAATCATAACGTTTCTGTCCCCTCACAATTCATGTGTAAGAAAACAACAATATTCAAAAGCTTCAGGACAGTTGCTACGCTGCAATGGATCGATTCAAATGTAAAAATAATTATTGCCCACACACCCAACGCCTTTGCTCCTGAAAGTAGGAAAAAATCAAGACAATTTTTTAAAAAAGGCGCAAAGCAAAAAAAGGACCGTGAAAATCACATTTTAATGACCACGCTGCAGCTACTAAGAACAATATCACTGGAAAATTCTAGCTACCAAGGTCGTTCTATTTTCAATTTTTGACTATCTTAAAAAACTTTAAAAAGTACAATGAGCTCTCTTGAGTGTAGTTACTGTCTATACGACTTCCGTGTTAAGGTAAACTGTTCTGCTGTGTTTCCCCCGTACATTGTAAAAATTAAGAATATTTAGTTTAGAGAAATATGTTAGGGAAAAACGGACATTGTACGTGTGCTACCATTACTTAATACCATATTTTTATTTCATTTTTCTTATGTACAGTATAGAACCCCGCTAACCCGAACCGGGAAACTCGAACTTAAAGTCCTATTTCCCTGGGATTTCGCCCCACTTTTCAGTCATTTCACTCGGTTAACTCGTACTGGGATAACTCAGATTCCCCCCTAACCAGAACTAAATTTCGTATCTTTTGATCAAAATTTACCCTCGTAACTCACCACTCATGCCATCCCATTATTTCTCAGCCTTAAAGTGTTATCGGTAAGAACCCTAAAACTGACAGCAATTTGAACAGATCACATATATGACAAGCATTTCCCAATATATATTGCAGTTTTTGATAAAGTAAGTTTTATTTGGACTGTACCGTATAGTGAAATGCTGAAAAATCAGTAAACCCTCACTTATTAATGTGGCGATAACTCGAACCCCCGATAACTTGAACTGATTATCGTTTACCGGTGTTGTACTGTATATATATCGAACTTGGAAACATAAGGGAAGACAATCTTTAAGTTGCTAGTAGTTTATCATATTTATAACCACTTACTTGTCTTTTGGAAGCTGGTTGATGGTGGTGTAGGCGGGGAAGTAATTGATGGTGCTACATAGTAAGAAGGATTTTTTTTTTTCAACTTAAACGTTAAAAGGCGGTCTTTCAAAAAGAGCTAAAGGGCAGGCTTTTAGAGAACGTTAAACCTCAAGGATGTGACATAGGTATAACCTTTGGTTGAAGTATTGTCTTTTAGTAAAATCCGACTTGTGGTGTATTATCAATGCTACGTTCTGATTGGTTGAGCTACTACTAGGCTATATGTTATAGCCCACTAGTAGCGAAAAGCGCCGGCTTTGAAAACCAAAACCGTGGCGGCTGAATCCCGTTTTGCTAAGCTAAAGTTGTTTTGTCTCGATATCTTTGACCTACTAGTTGGATTTTACTAAAACAATTATTCCTCTCGCCCTTATGGCCTCTGAATCAATAGCCCATGAGGCCTTCGAGGAATAATTGTTAATTATCCCATACTAATAGAATGATTTCATTTACACGAACTAGTACTCCTCGAAACTGTTAAAATTTCAAGTTCAAGGCCAAACGTCGAACTTTTCATGAGACGAAGCAGACTCTCAGACGTTCTTTCTGTCCGAAGCAAACGGATAGAACTCATTCAGACGTTAACTGAACCCAACGTCAAACTTTTCATGTCGACTAATGTGAGGGAATCAAGGACAGTCTTGGATTCTGGATTCCACGCTGTGGATGTCGGATTCCAGGTTCTCTATTCCAATGTTTGTCGGTAGGATTCTGGATTCCAATCTTTAGTGGGATTCCAGATTCCTTGAGCTGTATTCCAGATTCCAGGTACTCTATTCCAGTGTTTGCCAGCAGGATTCTGGATTCCAATCGTTAGTGGGATTCCGGATTCCTTGAGCTGTATTGCTGATTCCAAAACCCAGGATTCTGGATTCTTTAAGCAAAAATTTTCCGGATTCCCTTGCAAGGGACGAAGGAAGATATCATGAACTGAACTCACGGTTCTTCTCATGAAAAAATAGACGTTTGGCCTGGACCTAACTGTGTTTTTTAATCTTCTGACCTTATTTTTATACCTGAGTGTTTCTTCTTAATTCGTGATATACAGCTATTTCGAGAAAGGTTGTCGGAAGAACTGTGCACGCGACAATCCCGAAAGGTAATATGGGATATGATCAATGCACTTTTCCTGACACTGTAGCTGTCGAATCTACTTTTGTTACTTTCCTTTAGCTCTCGCAAACAATACGTCCATGGTTTCTCGTGCCATTCTTTGAAATTTCTTTGAAAAACAGTGAACTCAAGATCACCCACAATACCTTTCGGGATTGTCGCGTGCACTTTTTTCCGACAACCTTTCTTGAAATAGCTGTATATCAACAAGGTTATGATAACAGTAAAAAAATAATAATAACAAATCAGTCGGCAATACATCAAAATTTGCAATGGCTGGGCAGGACAACGCACATAACAAAGAGGAATTACAAGAACCTACTAAGATAATTTACTTTTAAAAATGGATATAAACCCCGATACATTTTGCATACAATCAAATAATTGCATAATTAAAGAAAGAAGACCAAAGAATTACTAGTTGCTTATATTCGTCTTCACTTTCCAAGATACCAAAATGCTTTTGAATCTCTTATATAGAACTTTTAACATAAAAACTTCCGGAAGTGGACGATCATGGCATTTTTGCGTTTATAGTACCAAACCTATAAACACAATTTAACAGAACCTAAAGCTATGTGGTGATAGAGAAAGGAACCTGTCCTAAACGTTTCAGAAAATTTCGTTTATTTTATTCATTCTAACAAACTTAACTTACGTGGTTGCTCTATTGTACCTCCTGCACCTGTATAACAAAATCAAAACAGACCAATTACTTATAATTGCATGTAAGAGGGCAAAGGGAGAAACTGAAACGGATTACACAAATAAATTCAAGCAACGGGCGCCAGTTGTTTCAAACGTTAGATGGCGCTATCCACCGAATAACTATTAGGCAATGCTCTTTATCTTATGGATAAATTGACCAACACTTTTTGAACAAGTGGAGCCAGAAGTATCTAGTCAGACGACTAACTCTGGAGGCCATTATAGCCTCGAAAGGCCGCCTTTCTGCCATAACGAGGAACTTGCGTCATTATTATTTCTTTTGAGCTATGATCTATGATCATCATTCAACTCTCAGGAAATTCTTATACATTTCAGTTCAATGTTCTAATAAGCGAGGGAGGATTATCTCCTGTAACAAGTCTCCAATTAGCCGTCACTATATTTTTGTTTTATGTCAACGTGAGAAGAAGCTGCGTTGCTTTTCTTGGGAGACTTTGTATTTCCTTTTGTAAGCCATAGTTTTGCAACAATTCCACTCCCTTCAGAAAGGTCAAAACGTAACTCAAGAAGCTTTTAAGATTGAGAGCACCTACCTTTACAAGCATTTCCCACGATGGTTTCAATAATTGTATCAAGTGCATCAAAATCAGCCTTCATTACATGTTGTGAGTCTGGATCAGTGGCCATTTCTCGCAGTTGTTCCTTATTGTAATTCTTTCCAATTCCTACACTGAACACAGTACAGCCAGAGTCTCTCAACTGTTGTGCGGGAGCTCCAATACTGTCCTTTGACTTGCCATCTGTAATGACGATGGCAATATTGGGAACTCCAGCGCGCGCACTTTTTTCAAATAATTCTGACTTGGCTTTGTTAAGCGCTGCCCCGGTTTTTGTTCCTCCACCGGGATATTTGATTCCGTCGATAGCGGAGAGAACTTCTGCTTTTTTATCATGCTCATCAAACTTCAACACAAGCTGTGATAAAGAAACACGATGTATCCTGATTAACCAGTAACAAGTGTATCTTCCCTTCCCTTTTCGCTCTCCACGCTATTTATTTAGATGTCCGCTAGTATCCATGGACATTAGAAAGACAAGCAATGACTACAGCAATAACTACACCCTCGGGGTAAGCTCAATAGAGGTTCGTCAGAATTTATCATAATCCTTAGCAAAAACAACACTTTATTTCGAAACAAACATACGACCGGAGCGGCATTACTATCCGCAATAAGTCGTCACCTTCTACCTCGGGACTGCATTTTCCTTCATCATAATGGGAACACTCACTGGGAAGGGCGAAGGGTAGCCGCAGCCCTGCGCTTGATGGAGGTGGCCGCTTAATGCTAACAAAGGTTTCATTTGCAATTCTTTTCTACAATCATTTCACCGTGTTACCATGAATCTAAGGGTGCAGTATGGCCAACAGTTTACATGACAAAACTGCACCAAATCCCATAATATTCACATGATCTTAAGAGCTCTAATGTAAGGAGCTGCCTGTTTACTCGAGAATAGCAAAAACTCAACCACCTTTTATATGAGAATATGAATTTATGAAAATTTCGTTGGCGACTGACAAGGGATCTGCTGATTCAGGCGTTAAAAAATATTTTGTCATTATGGTATGTACAGTTGTATATTATGTCGATGTATTTGTGACTATTATGTCTTTAACCAGTCTAAACTAGTTTTACCTCCGCCTTTTCGTCATAAACTATGATTCCTACGTGGGTTTCTTCTTTAGATACATCAAACGCTTGGGTTATGGCTTTGACAAAGCTTAAAACCTTTTTGAAGTTTCCTTTACCAGCATTTTCTATGCTTCCAGAGCCATCAATGATAAATCCTAGGTCCACTTTTGCCTTGCATTCTACAAACAATTAAATAGCATATCGTAGTCATTATCATCTCACCATCATTTATATAACTCCCCACTGTTTGCCGGAGTGGGCAGATGATATTGCTATATAGAGTTTAAAACTGGTGATCTGAGGGGCTATGTATATCTTTTTTTAGTAAAATCCAACCTAGTGGTCTATTATCGATGCTGCGTTCTGATTGGTTGAGCTACTACTAGGCTATATGTTATAGCCCACTAGTAGCGAAAAACCCCAGCAAAACAATGGCTTTTGCGTCGCGTTTTGCTAGCTAAAGTTGTTTTGTCTCGATATTTTTGACCAACTAGTTGGATTTTACTAAAACAATTCTTTCTCTCGCCCTCATGGCCTCTGAGTCAAGATATTGACTCAGAGCCCATTCGCGCTCCAGGAATAATTGTTAAGTGACCACTTCAGATATAGTTATAATTAATGGAATGGTCAGTGGAGTCCTACATATTCAGTCCGTCCGCAAATCGCCTTCTACAGTGGAATCTCGATTCAACGAACCTCGATATAAAGAACGATTTTCTTTACCCCAATAATAGTTAAATTTATAAAAAAGAACCTCGATATAACGAAGTCCTCGATACAACGAACGATTTTCTTTACCCCAATAATAGCAAAATATATTAAAAAGAACCTCGATGTAACGAAATCTCGTTAAAGCGAACAAATTTTGTCAGTCCTTTGGTTCTTTGTTAGAGCAAGTGGAGGGTTATTAAATGATGATGAAAGATCTTTGAACTAGCTCCTTAGCTTTTACTCTTACATTATCAAGACTGAACCCAAAGTCATTCTGAAGCGTTTCATTCAACTGATGAGACCGTAAAGCCAAACGCACTTTCGACAGACATTTGCTGCATGTTTCCTAGGGTGATTACAAATCATTGCATTTTTAATACATATAGCCTTATTTCAAATAATCAATGATGCTGCAAGTAAATTAAGCAAGTTAAAAATTCTAAGGTTAAAGCAATTGTATTAATAATGTCTCACTTGAAGTAGGTTTAGGCTTTGGACCAGGTTTCTTTCTACCGGGCTTAGGGGTAGGGCCAGGGGTAGTTGTGCCAGGCTTAGGCTTTGGGCCAGGAGTGATTCCAGTCGTACCAGGTTTAGGACTGGGACCAGAAGTCGTACCAGTGACACCGGATGGTGGACAGACGCCGCCACCAGTGGTTACATTAGGGCATCCCTCAACAACCTTGCCCTGGATCACACAAGTCGTTCCCGGCATCGGCATTATCTCAGTTCCCATCCCAGGACAGCCAACTGTCATCCCCTGGTTTAAAGGAGGACACTGTTCTCCTCCCATAGACTGCGAGCTAATTTGAACACAACCGGAGTCGACCGTTATACATGAGGTCCCTCCTCCAGTTGATGCTCCGCCGCAATCAGGGATCCCAGCAGGCATTTCTTGGGGCAAACAAGTTAAACCCCCTGCTGTCGCCCCTGCTCCTGGGGAGGCACATCCCCCAGAGATATCTGTTGGAGATGGACAGGGAGTCATTACTTCCATAGCTCCACATCCCCCGGACTGTGCCCCCTGGGGCATACATGGGCTTCCTTCCATCACACTCGGTGTGCATCCGCCGGGTGATTTGGTGTTGTTACCTTTAGGTGATTGCCCTGTTGAGAGAGAAGGAAAATTTCATTCGACCATCATAGGTATGACGGCCTGATCAACAAAACCAAAAAAAAGGTATTAGCAGGAGCCCATCAAATGGAGCCTCCATCTCCCATACAAGCCCTTGGAGTCAACCCTTTCCCGAGTAGATCTATAATTAGAACGGTTCTCAGGGGAGACTTCGCGCGCCGACGGTAGGAAGAGCCAATCACAACGACAAAATGACACTGCTATTGTACTTCATCAAACAGCAGGAACTTCTGTGTTGACAGGCCAAACGCAATCATAAGCTAGTGAAACGTGACTTTAGCGTTTTCAACCCTCAGAGATTTTCTTCTTTTTCTTTCTAGCGGGTAGATTATACTGTGGAGAGTTTTAAACTCTGACTATGTAAACTTAATTTTGGTTGCTTGTCTCACATTAAGAGGCCATGAAGCTGCTCTGTTACATGCATAATGATTAACTACTACCTGCAGTCTGTAGTTCTGACAGGATTCGTTTTCTTTAGCCAATTTTTTTGAGCGTTAAGGTTCTTATTTCGGCTAAATGACTCAATATTAATCAAATTTCTAGTTTTTCAAGGTTTTTTTCCGAAATGCGTTTATCTGAATAAATACTTGTAGTCCTTGTGGTTGTTTTGTCCGTCAGCTAGTGTGATGATTCCCTGCTATGTTTTGTAACACCGCGCCCAGCCATTGTTTTCTCGCAAAAAAAGTGATCTACAGATGCGAATTCGAAGGAAGGAATTGAGCCTAAACTTCTACATTAACTGCTGAGAATTTTCCTGTTAGTCAGTCATCATTCTTTGGGCGCAGATACAATCCATTTTGTTTTTCTTGAGATAAGTGGGTCTTTGGACTGGAGCGCGATGTCACAAATTCCTCCGTTAGCAAATATATTACTTTTGAGTTAGCTTCACGGACGAGCAACTGTTGTCTTCTGTTCAACTTTTCAAGTGCCAGTTTTATCAGGCAACTCTCATGGTGATACAAGTCAGTTGTAAAGGAAGACTGCAATTTCTCAAATTTCGGAACTGAAGCATTCCTCGTTTGTTGCTACTTAGGTCATCGCTTTTGCACGCGGCGCTTAACTGGCGAAATCCACTCCACGGTGATGGCAAAAATCAAATGATCCTGGCACTTTTACGGCGCTGATCATCGAGAAGTTCCCAATCGTCCACAGAACGCTTAATCGTCGACTCTTTTCTAGGCGCATGCTTAAATGTGGGATATATGGCGGCAAAAAAAAAAAAGAAACGCAAAGATAACCTTTCAGTGAACCTCAGTTCGCTGCCTTTGTCCCATCGCTTCATGCTCAGTCTCAGTCGGGTAATTCATTAACTTTTATTTCATGATACCCAGAGCCCAGCGGCCGTAAAATTGTAAAACTGGACGTAAAGTAAAAAAGGAAAACGGTCGAATGACGGGCTTCTGAGTTCGACTTTATCCAATTTTATTTTTTCACCGAGACATACGAGACTTACAAAAATATGACACTTTTCGCGGGAAACAAGTCGTTCTATTTATAAATCTACTCGGGAAAGGGTTGACTCAAGAAATTAATGGAGATGGAGGCTCCATTTGATGGGCTCCTGGTATTAGTTATAGTACTCGCAGATTCGCACACACACGCAATAGTTATAAAGCCCGAATTCTTGTTACCTTGTTTTAGAGCAAAGCATATTAAGAAGTCTACTATTTTTTTACTTACCTTTAGCTGTTCCATTAACTTTGTTATTAGTGCCTGTAAATAGAACAATAATGCCAAAGAGTAGTGATCATTATCAATGCATTGAGCATTGGCACGCTGGTATGTCTTGGACTCTAAATCGCCGGACCTGCATGTCAGTGGCATTAGGTTTAGAGACTTCGACCTAACAGACAGTTTGTCGTTTCTTCTTAATGTGTTAATCTAAAAAGTGGAACAATGCTGAGAGGACCTTACTGTGAGCTGCTAGTATTCGACAGGCGGTTGGTATTATGATGAAGACGCATTTTCGAGGGCACTTGAACATTTGAATAAGTTACATTATTGTACCAGCAGTAAAGGAAAAAATGAATTGTTAGATTATCTTGAAGAGAGAGGAATGGTCTGTTGAAAATCGGATTCAAAATTTAAAAGAGAAGACTTACTAATGCAACCGGAAGTTGGCATCGGACATCCTCCACCACAACTTTGTTGAGGACTGCTACACGAATTATTCCCAGAAGCTGTTGAGGATTGATTGTGATCACATGGATTTGGACATAATGGGGGCGATACTTGCTGAGGGGGATTATTTGGGCAGGGATTTGGACACGAATTATTCCCAGAGGCTGGTGAGGACTGATTTTTACCACATGGATTTGGGCATACTGGGGGCGATACTTGCTGAGGGGGATTATTTGAGCAGGGATTTGGACACGAATTATTCCCAGAGGCTGGTGATGACTGATTATTACCACATGGATTTGAGCATACTGGGGGCGATAGTTGCTGAGGGGGATTATTTGTGCAGGAGCTCGGACACATCGGAGGTGAGACTTGCTGGGGAGTGCTACTACTTGCGCACGGAGTCGGACATCCTGCAGACTTTGAACTATTGCTTGATTTATTGTTGCTGTCCATTGCAGTTTCTTTTGGTGGTTCTACAAGTAGTTGGCCATCCTCATCTAGAAAACTATTACAGATCACATACAATTTGTTCAAAATAAGCGTCAAAACAGGATCTGAATAACTAATTGTCTGCCCCATCAGGGTAACGAGGAAACAGAAGAATATGTGTGAGTGTGTGCTGTAAATTGATTTCGATTAGGCAGACATTAATGTAAAATGTTGTAAATGACTTTGTTAGGGGAGGTGGGGGGAGGGGGGGAGATAAATTTTATGTAATTTTTCTAATTTATTCCAGTTTAGTCCCTCACCTATACACCTCGTTACTCCAAGGCCCTCCTTCGCCATCACCTGAAAACAAAATGGTAATATAACTAAATAACAATACTAATAATAATAATATGATGATAATGATGATGATGATTAATGATAAAACCAACATCACACTTCAATTGTAAAATTAAGTGATGATAATTGTAAGGGTTTTACCTGTCCAATTTAAGTATAACAGTTCGCCGTCTGGTCATGGAACTCAACTAAATTTAAGACAAGTTGCGGATAAACTTTAATGGATGTAGCAAGTTCTGAGGTAGCTCTAGCTTCAATAAAGTGGTACATTTAGCACTGAACTGAATTCTCGAAATACAGAATATATTTGTCTTTTTCTTTAGAGTTTTTAAGAGATGTCACGTTTTAACTGTTTCTTGTTAAGTATCGTCAAATAGAGGATAGAGAAAGATTTTCAGTGAATAATTATCATCACCTCCACAATCTGAACTAGGCCCATGTTTGCGATATGTGTTCTTGTCGTTTCTCCCGCCAAAACACTGACCACCGTTCTGTATAGCAAACAGCTCGAGGTCGTTTTCATCTGCTGCTTCGGCGCATTTCATCAGGGCATTTACTCTGGTCTTGTAATCATGTTGTTTAAGCTTTGAGAACTTTCCTTCTAGACTTTCCATGGCACGGTCTTGCTGAGAGTCTGCCCAGCAACCGATGCTTTTGAAGACTGAAATGCAAAGTGCAGCACACTTAAAGATTGTATTGGAAGTGAAATAAATACCGTGCATTTCAAGTTCTGCGATCTGAATCCGGAATCCAAGTTCCACCGACCAGGATCCCGGAATCTAGTACCTGTGGCAAGTTTAAAAGAGTTTGGAAAGTGTTTAGGGCCACCTTAATTGAAAGGTGCATTAGACATGATTACAATGACGTAAAAGTTGCTAACGAACAAGGTTATTCACTTGCTTACATCTTCCTCTGATCTCAAACGTCTCTGCTCTATCTGGAGGTGTCGGTTTAGGCTTGGGTTTCTTACCAGCGTCACTGATCGTTTGAGAAGGTTTTGCGGGGATTAAATAGGCGGCAGAGTTACTAATGGATGAAACTTCAGCGGATGAGGTGAGAGGAGTAGTATACGACGTCTGCTGACTCTGATCGTAAGTGTAAGGGCTTGATGACGATGAGTAAGACAGTTGCTGGGATTGAGATGAGAAGGGAGTGGTTGACGTTGACGGGGCATATGGTTGGGAAGGGTATGATGAAATTGGAGAGTAGTATGATGAAGGAAAGGAAGCTGGATAGGGGTAGTGGGATGGGGCAGGGTAGGCATAAGTCGAGGGGTAAGGGGACTGTGATGGATATGATGAAACAGATGCGTCTGAATACTGTGTGGGACTCAGTGGCAGCGATGGATACGACGGTTTGTAGAATGATGATGGTGCAGGAGCCGGAAGAGATGGGGCGTAGGCTGCATACCGGCTGGTATACGGGTCTACTGGAGAGCGAGGTGATAGGTAATAAGGGGCTGGGTTCCGGTTGAATAGTGCCTTTCGAAGCCCAGAGATGCGGTGTCTGGTTCCTCTTGAAAGCCCTGAAATTATATCAAAATAAGTGGGTTTAATACAGTCTATAAGATACTCTGACCAGGTGGGTATATCCGAGGAGGCTTACTACTGAAAAAGTTCTTCGAAACAAGTAGATAAAAAAAACCGTTTTGCATTCAGTGGCTTCCAATTGAACTTCAGATCGTCATAATAAGTCAAATTCAAGAAGGGAAATGTTAGAAGCGACAGTTTACGGCCTAAGATTAGAACACGACATTCCAAAAAGGTAATTATTCAGTCGGTTAGATTTTTAAGTAAGTGAGTAAATATAGGTCTATATAACGTAAGTCTGGTATTTGGCTAATTCTCAGTTATAGTTCTGCTAAATTTAGGCTCAGTTTGCGTTAATTAGCTTTGCTTAACTACATTTATTTCATGCCTACTGATATCTCGGCAAATAACTAGCCAAAAGAGTAACAGGAGGTAACTTACCTAAATTTTTGTCTTTAAACAATTTCTTCAAGATAATGTGATGGCGATTTGTCTTTGTTCCTTCAGCAACCACAAGGACCGTCATGCCGACAATCAGTATGGTCCAAAGAAATAACGGTTTCAAACGCATCCTCATTTTGCACTGTATGGCTAGAAAATACATAAAGGTCAAACATGTCCACCCAATCGTCGATAGAAAAGTCACTATGGGTCATACAGGTAATGGGTTCCTGTGGACGACTCAGATTATCTGAACTCAGGGCACCCATCCTCAACGCAAAACAAACCGGCATTGGAAAACTAAAATGCTGTACTGAACGAGATCTTTGTTCATCATCATTACAATAATGCTGATGACAATTTTAAAATCAGGTATGTCTCACAAAGCAGTGCATTAGTCTATACTGAGGCCCGTACTCGCCAATAAACGCCGGGAAAGAAAAACTGGATTCTATGTTATCAGCCATTTTTTCCTAGAAAACTGTCCTCTTTGGTCAACGATCGAACAGTGGTTTTTCGGAATTCCGAAAAGAACGGGTTCGAAATTGTGAAAAAGATAATGACAAATAAGAAGCGATCTTCTGCCAAATTAAAGAAACTTGAAAACCTATAAACTGCATGTAACATGTAACTGCTTGCGCCCTTGCGGAAGTACCGTTTTATTAAGACAGAAAAATATCTAAAAAATACATTACTACTACCAGGGGCCTATGACCACTACTAATTTCTATAATTTATTTAATGAAAAAAAAAAAGGGTTCGACACCGAGAAAGCTTCATCGCAAAAGATTAGGTCGCTTAATAATCCGGATATTCTAAATATATCTGACCGCCGACATTTGTGAGTTTATAAATTATGAAGCGACATGAAAATTAAATCCATCATTAAAAAAATACTATAAGAAACAAACAACATTTGATATAAAAAATTTGCTAATCAAATTATAGCAAAATTTTACCTCAGTTACTGGGCGAAAATACGTGATCTTTTACCCCCGTCGTTACCTTAAAATCATGTCAGAATTCAAAATTATACCAACTACTCTCCTCTTGTTTTTTGTGGGCGTCTACCTCGCAGATGTAACTTTGTGTACCTTAAGTGGAACCAAGTTGGTCGCCTGTGTACGCCTTTTTACTTCTTTTGGGTAAGATCTTTAGAAAACTGTTACATTCGCCAAAAGATTAAAAAGCCACTGCAAAGAAGTTTTATTATGTGCAAGCACCGGTTACTTGAATAAAATCACCCTTGACTGTCACCTGTTTGATCGACCAATCTTGCTAGAGGAAAGGTCAAGCACCACTTGAGCCCTGTGGCAGACAACGATAGAAACGTTTCCAAGAGAAGGCTACTGAATTGAATGAAATGATACAGTTAACTGCTTACCATGCTTACCATAGAAAGATTGAAATTGGGTGACCAATTTCATGTTTTCCTGTTATTTTCAGGCATTCTATCCCTGCTTGAATTCAGTGATAAAGCAGACCTTAGCCAGGGGGGCTGTTCCATTGATCCTCACACCGTGCTGACAGAGTGTACGGTTTTTTTGAGCCGTACCTTTAAACGTGTATGAAAAGCATAATGACTGATCTGTATAGAGTAGTCTAAATGACGCTGCATATCAGAAAACACCACCCATGATTGAAGTGTCAGGATGTTATACTCATCTGGGATATTTTTCAGAGTTCTCACTAATGACAAATCTGCGACACAAATCGTACTAACAAACTAATATAACGACATGAAGTGTATATTTAAGACTTTGAAAGTAAAAATTGCGAGCTCCGCATGCGTTCTTGCAGGCTATGCGCCCCTCCTATGATTATAGTAGAGACCGTGCGATACACTGTTTCTACCTACGAGTACAGGTACAAATGTCCCACCAACATGTTTGGTATGCAATTATATAAAAGGCGACCATGATTTCTAGGTGTGGTAATGGCATCATCGTTCTTTCCGATAGCCTAACGGTTTTTACCAGGGTGGGAGGCTATCTAGCCCTATGTACGGCTACGGTCACAGTAACTTTACTCATGTCTATACAAGGAAGCGATGTATCTTATGGCCTCTATTACACGCTATTGACCTCCCTAGGTGCTATACAAGGAAGTTTTTTGATACTCTTTGATTAAAGACTAGATGAACAGTTGCTTTATGAGCCAAGCGAGGCGAACGCAGAATTTTACGCGAAGCGCGAGACAAGGGGCAAAAGAAAAATTTCTCCTCCCCTCGTCTCGCGATTCGTGCTCGTCTCGCGCTTCGCGCAAAATGTCGCGTTCGCCTCGCTTGGCTCATAAAGCGCCTGTTATGCAGGCGCGATGCTCATTACCTAATCCTATCATGAGATTCAGTTCCTTTCAGCTTCAATTCAGTGATGTGGACGTTTTAGTTTAAGGGTTGCGTGTGAAACGGAACAGGAACATTAAAGGCCATCGTCTTCCTTTTTAGCTATACACAAGAACTCAAAGTCGATAACTCGCGCGGTGCTGTTCATTTCCTTGCCCAGTTGAGTGGAACACTCAGTCTTTAAGGTTGCTGATAAATACTTCCGCAGAGAAAAAAAAGGTAAGGGAGGATAACAAAACTGGACTGAATCATTTACTTTGAAAATCTCTTGTACTATGTTTTGTGTTACAAAACAGTTATAACAAAAACATTGGGGATTCATCCATTTGTCAGTGTATTCTGTGCTACCATTTAATATCATATTAACGTTTTGATCATAGTAAGAAAAATCTGAATATATTCATCGCTGTAGGCCTTTGGGTTCTAATGGACAACATCCAGTGAAATCAGTATTCGTCAGTATTATTAGAAATGACTCGGACTTGTTACTTAGTCTACTTTTTTTATTTCTCATTGCTCCAGGACAATGGTCATGGGTACATTGTATCTTTGCGTTGGCTTTTGTTCTGATCTTTGGATCTCTAAATGTCAAGGTGTTGTCTTTATCTGGTGAGAGTTTAATGAAGCATAACTGGACGGTTTTTGGAAAGCTTCAGAGCTTGTGCTTTGAAACAACGACCAAGTAACCGACTGATTTTACGTGCCCCACCGAAACAAAATCACAAGCACTCAACCAGAAAAAAGGCTCCCGAAAATTCTAGGTGACCTTTTTAGGGTAAAAGATTCTGGGCAATTATAACATATTTTACATGCTCGAAAATCCTAGGAGAAGCAGGCAAGCAGGAAATTTTACAACGAATGTTCAGAAAAATTCTAGATTTCAAATCGTCACCCGAACGGGTATTTTCCGAAAATTGCCGTTAGGTGCCCCTGCAAAATGACTAGAAGGTAAAATCGACTATTTTAAGGTGGAATAGAACATCAATAAATAAATAAATAAATAAATAAAACGAAAGAGAAAAAAGGAAGTGAGGGTCTTAAGCGTTCTTGAGGAGAAATGTAATAAGGTTTAACTAATGCAGAAAAGGATTTGCTTTAAAAAAAAAGCAGTTGATACGATGAAAGCTGTTACTCTTTTTCTGTCTCTCTAAATAACTGTAGTTTTCCCTATTACTGACCAAACATTGCCCTTGATTTTTTCATCTACATATTACAGACTACGCTCTACACTTTCCAACTAAAGGCACCAGTGACTATGTGAACATCTGGGGTATGCCCAGCTTGACCCAGTTCACTGTATGTCTCTGGGTGAGGACAAACGCCACTACCGCTGGTACTCCGTTCAGTTACGCTGTTCCCGGCCAACATAATGAAATTGTCATCCTCGGCGTGAGGAACCCTTGTATTTACATTGCGAGTGGAAGCTTCAGGTACATTTTGCTGGTAAAAACGATGAAATGAGTCGTTAACAGATTTTAACAGTGTACATCTTGATCAATGACCAATTTTGCTTTATCCTCGTTTTTTTTTTTATTTTCCTGCCCTTTTGGCGTGAAATATGTAATGAAACGGGCAAAGATCAAGACCATTTAAGAGGAAATGTTAACAATTGGACTACCATTCAAGCCTGATTTGCCAAGACAGCATTAAATTTTAAAATAAAGTAAGTTTTAATTGCCAAAGTAAGGGAAAGTTCATTTAATATGACAAGGGGTGGATGAAGATATTGAGGGGGGGCTCCGAAAATTTTCAGACACCCAAAGGGGGGGCTCTGAAAAAATTGTTGCGCTAGGAGGGGGGGCTCCGAAAATTTGTATACTTCAAAACCAACACATGACATCATCACACAGATCGGATGGTTTTCAACTCAACAATTTAATGACCTGTGCAACTCAGCTATATCACGTGGTTTACAGATATAACAAATGTAGTCTCATTATTACACTCTTGTTCATCCCAAAAATGCTTTAGAAAATTGTATCACAACTGTATCTCAAGTTTGTCATAGTATAAACCATTGAAGACAATAACGGTAAATATATTTAATACAGTCTAGCGATCTTTTTTCAGGGGAGCAAAGGAATTGAAGGAGGAGGGCGGGGCTCTGAAATTTTTTCGACTACCAAGGAGGGGGCTCCTAAAAAGTTGAACCGCTAGCGAGGGGGGCTGCTAAAATTTCAAGCTTCGAGTTTCAATATCTTCATTCCCCCCCCCCCCTTGTCATATTAAATGAACTTTCCCTAAAAAGGAGCGTACAATTTTCTTCTTACTCAGTTATCATTTCTTATAGTGTTACCTTACCTTCAACAACTGATGGAAAATGGCACCACGTCTGTTTATGCTGGGAAAACATCGCGGGCTCATGGAAATTATACAAAGATGGAGCAGTGGCAGAGCAAAGGTCAGAGCAAAGGGATTCGTTCGCAACAGGACACGTGATAAAATCAGGAGGATCGCTTATGCTGGCTCAAGAGCAAGATTCTTTAGGTGGAGACTTCGATATAAATCAATGTTTCATCGGGATGTTGACAAACGTCAATGTATGGGATCACGTGCCTTCCCCTGCAGAAATCGAGAAGATGTCAAAATCGTGCCTCTCTGGGGAGGGAAACGTATGTAAGTGGTCTGATTTCATTCATGGCCTTAAAGGGGAAACCAGAGTAGTTATCCCATCTCCTTGCAAACCAATGGCTTCCTAACTATAAGTTTGCTAATATAAAGCGTTGTAAATGCAGACCGAGTTTTGTACTTGTAACGGATCTGAATTCAGTGCTCTAAAGCGGTTTTTTAAACTAAAATTAGCGTGACAGTACAGCAATAAAATAAACAAAAATAAATTTGATAGAGTATGTTTTTAATGGTGTTTGTGGTTTTTGGAATAAAAAACTTGCCTTGCTGTTTGTAAAATCCTGGGTAATGCCAAAAACCGGGTAAAACCGAAAAGTGAAGCATTGTGTTTTTATTGAACGGATCCAAAAGTTAATACCTGAGTCGAACCCGAGAGACGATAAATGTCCTAATATGTACCAAAGTTTATCGCATGTTAAGCCATCAAACCATTACAGTAGCAAATAATTCTCAATGTAAATTTTATACCAAAGTTACATATCAATCACAGTTGAAAAACGACCGTATCGAACACAGAATCGTTAAATACGATAGACAACTAGGATTCGTTGCATTCCTACGTCGTATACGTCAAATAAGTAGCATGTGATACTTTCCTTGTAACGTTAATTATAACAAATTATAGTGAAGAAATAGACTTCAAGTAAACTCTTTATCAGTGAAAAAGCCGAAAGGGATCGTAAACGTTTTTTTCTCAGTTTCAATTTCTTTGAATCGGCTGAACTATTCTGTCACAGGGGGTGTTGTTTAGTTTAAAATAAACGACATCAGCGGCAAAACAATCATTATTGGTCTCACTACACCAGAAAACTTTAAAAATCTTTAAAAAAACAGGCGGTTAACAAAAGCAAAGTTTCAAAAACCTTATTCCTCGTTTTGTCAAGTTGTTTGTCAGTTTCTTGTTTTTATTCCTCGTTTAGTTGCCCAAGCTCCTCGTTGTATTTTTTCAAAAGTATTCATTTCTTATCGAGTACAGAAAATATTTTTTCATACTTATTGTTGAATTGACTTTGCCCGCGAAGTGCTTCCATTTGATGCATGAAAAAGTTAATTTATCAACGCTAAGGGGATGATGAAGTACCGTTTAGCTGTTTGTGTATTTCAGTTGTTTTCGCGCTGAGAAACGATATCCGACAAAATTTGGATTGTGACCAACCGAGTGACAAATATAAGGTACGAGACTGAAATTTTAGTACAAGCAGCACGCTTGAACGAAAAAGGAAATTGTGGGCTTTCATTATTCACGTGCTGCAAGTAAATCGTAAATAGTTGTACTCAGTGACAAAAATTTGATCTTCTTCGCGTTTCTGTGAAGTTGAAAACTTAGTCTAGGAAAAAAATGTGACCATGAATATTTTGGATATTTTAGAAAGGGGAATGAAGTATTCCAGAGCAAAGATTCGTTTAAAACTGCCCTCCTTCTTACGAATAACTGCATGTCTCCCCCGATGAGAGTTGCACAACAGACCAACGGTCTCTGTACGTACTATACGTCATCTGACAGAATTTTGGATTTTTTCCAGTTTAATAGCGTGCTAGCCTCGCTAAAGCTCGCCAATAATTTGAACCTTTGTAATGTTGCCAATGTTTTGGCCGATGGAAATAACAAACAGGAAACATTTTAATGGCTATAAACTTCGATTCCTGCTGCTGCACTGGCAAGCACATACTCAGTGATTAAAACTACATTTTCAGCATTTTGCGCTTTCCTAAGCTAGTTGAATAGATTTCTGAAACTCACATATATGAGTGGTCAGATATTTATTCAGGCCGCCTTAAAGGAGAAACTACGTTCTAACCTCTCCTTACGGACACCTCTGTAATACGGACACCTTTCTATTACGGCCAGTTTGTTTGGTCCCAGAAATGCCAAAAATCATACGTTCCCTACCTCTGTAATAAGGACACCTCTGTAAAGAGGACACTTGGTTCTGTCCCTTTGGTGTTTGTAATAAAGAGGTTCGACTGTATAGTAAAGTCTATAGTACTTATTCCATCTCCTCGTAAGTCCGCCTGACTCTCCTTTTTTTCACTTTTCTTCTTTTCTTTCTTTTTTTGCTTCTTTCTGCTTTTCTTCACCCACTAAACCCTAAGCGATACCTGTCTGGTTCAATTGTCGTTCCGTCCTCCGGTCTAAGGAGATCAAAATCTGCAATTTACACGGTGAGACGACGAGCTTTCCCGCCCTTAACTTACGTTTTAGCGACATCTTGAAATTTTAGCAAACTTGAGAACTGATTTGCGCAGCAAATCTTACTTTTAAAGAACATGTCAGTGAGTTCAAATGATGAAAAATTTTATATGGGTTCATAGTTACTGATGTCGACGATCAACGTTTTGAGCGAATAACTTATCACTCTACACGTATGATAAAGGGAAAGGATAGGAATACACTTCAGAAATCATCAACCTATTTGCGTTAGAACTTCCTTTTGCACCTGTCTGTTTATGAACTTGAGTCTGTATTGCCTTCATTAATTCACCCGACATATTCTGTATTTACCCTCTATGTATGGAAAAGTTGCGCCGGTCGACCTCGTTGCGGGTGTTAATAACCCACAATAAACGTGAAGTCTTACTGAATAATTTTGACGTTCCGGTGCAAGGGTCGCTCACTGAACGGAACAAGAAGCTATCGACTTGACTTGTGTGCTACACCGGGAAAAAAAGATTTTAAAGCCTTTCAGATTCAGTTCTTCTCAGTTTCAGTACGGTATTGTGGACGTTTCTGTTGTTCAAGCGTTTCTTGTGAAACGGAACCGGAAATTACTGGCTATCAGTGGATATCGCTCCATGCCTGCTAGTACAAAATCACTCGTACATATCCGCTTTTGTTCATTTTCTTGGCCAGTTGAGTAGAGAACTCAGTTTTGAAGAAAGCTGATAAATTTTTTTTCAGAGATAAGGTAAGGCAGGATATCAAAACTGATTGATAGGACAATCAGCCAATCAGTCTGATTTCGTTGGGCACAGTGAAACTGTATTTTGGAAGATTTCTACATAGAATCAGATGTATACGTCTGCATAGCACCTAACTTAAAACTGAACCATATTTACCAGTTTGTTTTTGATCCAAAACAGTAGTACCAAAAACATCAAAAGATCATCTATTTATCTTTGTTATCTGCATTCCTTTTTAATCCTATTTAAAGTTTGTAAAGTTGAAAGAGGAATCTGCAATTTTTCATCTCTGTAGGCTTAGATTCTAATGGTCTATCGGGCAAAATATTCGCACAGCGTCATTTTATCAGAAATGACTATCTCGTTGCCTAATCTAACTAACTTTAATAGTTCACTTTTGTTTTAGAAAAACTGCGGTGCGTGCATTGTACCTTTGTGTTGGTTTTGGCCTGATCTTTGGATCTGTCAAACTGTCATCGCCTCTAACTGGTAAGTTAACCATAAAACGTTCTGGCAAGCTTTTACTTTTATACATTGTACTTGTAGCTGACATAAACAAAATTACTACAAAAACGGTCATGAGCAATGAGGAACAGCACAAAAAGGAACAAGGCTGAAAAAAAGAGGACTCTTCTGAAAAGGAGAAGCAGATGAGAGTTTAACAGTCAGAACAGTTGAGAATAATTAGAGGGGGCAATGAACAGTTCTAGAGAGAAAGATATTGCGAAGCCCGGAAAAACCGTTAGCTTTTGGGCTTTTGGTTGTTTACCAATTACAAAAAGTTTCCGGAAAGTTCGTTGGAAAGTAAATGGAACACCACTTTTTAGATCATTTCAGCGGAAAAATAAGGAGCATAGGAACATCTGAAAAGGTAGTCCTGTTTCCCAGACGGAATGTTTCAAACGAAAATTCGAGTACCATTTCTTTAAAGCCCTCTTTGATACCAGTTTCAGACTTTGATGGAACCCAGATTTGTATAAATGCTAAACGCGATTCCGGGACGAAAGTCACGGCTTATCAGTCCCGAATTTTGCTTACGATTTACGCAAACCGTAACCGACCGGTTTGGCGTCCCTTCTCCTCTTTCTCTCTAAATAAATAAATAAATAAATAAATATATCTGACTGAGCAAATATCTGAACTATCTTCTTTGATTTTACAGACTACGCTCTTCACTTTCCAACAAAAGGCGTTAGTGACTATGTGGACATCTGGGGTATGCCCAGCTTGACGCAGTTCACTGTGTGTCTCTGGATGAAAAAAAAACGGCACTAGCAGTTATAGTAGAATGTTCTTTTATGGTGCTCCTGGCCAGAGGACTGTAATTTCGATCGGGTACAACAGCTGGGGGTTTCCTAACCTCTCCATTGGTAAAAGCGGCATAGGGTACATTTTCCATTTAAGAAAGATGAAATACTATTTTAAAAATGATCAATAAATTATTTATTTATTCTCCCCTTTGGCATATTGCTATAGAAAGGTCAAACATGAAGAACATTTTTAATGTTGTCTAATAGAAGTGTTATAGTCAGACCTAATCCGGGCTAGCATCGTAATTTGAAAAAGCCAATTATACGAGGAGAGCGGTTCTGTAGTTTCCTCCGTGATCGGGGAATATCCTCCTTTTAATTGACAAACTTTAATACACACGAGAATGATTCAGAAATCAAATCAGGTTTCTCTCTCAGAAGCTTGGCAGAAATACTGTCAAGAACTGTAGCTTTCGATTTACAAAGTTTAGATAACAAAGAAAAGACGGTTAACCTTGGTCAATTTCATAAAACGAGACAGGCTGTCGGTTTTGTCAGGTAATCCAAAAGGCAAGCATCAACTTCGCAAATTTCTTTGGGTTGTTAAGTATTTTCCACGATCATTATATGCTTCTGGAAACTGCCCACCTGCCCCTCGCTTAAGCCAACATTGACTCTTACTTCTCACTTAGGGAAAAATGTTGGCTTAGGGGAGGGGTAGCCGGGGGGTTCTAAATCTGCAAGATGAAGCGAATCCTGCGTTCTGATTGGCTTCCCTAGAGGGCAAAAAGACTGTGCAAGACGAGTCCATCTTGACCGTATTTTCCGCGTTAGTCCCGCAAGTTCTCCTTTTGGTGATATAAAAATAAAATCCTTTATTTACCAATCTTATTCGGTCAAGATGGCTTAATATTAAGCCTCATTCTTGTTTCGTATGGGTCAATAAAAAAGTAAAAAAAAAAAAAACTTGGGAAATATCTAGGCATCTTGACCTAACAAGCTTGTTCAATAACGCATAAATGTATGTATACAGTAAAAAGCTGCAACTAAGAACCTACATTTTCAGGGGTTAGCCTAAACAGGTTCTTATATAAATGGTAGTTAACTGAATTTTAGGCTTTTTAGGTTCTTAAAATGGGTTCTTAATCCTGGAGAAAAACAATTAAAACACAGCTGCAAACAAGTTGGTCATTAGCCTATACTTTTATTTTCTTCAGCCCCACCCCACCCCCCAGCCCCCCAAAAACATTTAAGAATATATCAATTTATACATTTACATGTATTTATATGCTTTGCCGAGCTGTACAAAGCTTTAACTGTAACAATAATATTCAGGATAATATTCAGAACAGGGCCCAACAATGGCAATCTGCTTTTCTTGCTTCAAATATGATTCTTGCAATGCAGCTGGAATGTACTAGTATGATTTTAGAAATTAAGAACCTGTCTTAAATTTCTTATGCTAAATAGGTTCTTGTTTATAGGGGGTATAAATGACCAATTTTAGACTAACAGGTTCTTAATTTTTAGGTTCTTAGTTGCGGGTTTTTACTGTATATATGTTGTAGTAAATTTTTTATGTCAGGTAATTTTTGTTTTTCTTTAATTTTTGGGTATGGTAATGTATGCTAATGAAGTTGAAACAAAAGAAAAGAGAAATTACCTGAAATAATAAATTAACTACAACATATATATCAAAATAAAATCTTCTATAACAAGAAATTCATTTATAAAAGTCATCTATAAAAAGAAATTCCTTTCTCTCTTTTTAATCTTCTTTAGTGGTTGGCAAGTTCTACTAGTTGATGGAAAATGGCACCACCTCTGTTTATCTTGGGAAAACATCAGGGGTCATCTGAAAATATACAAAGACGGTACTTTATTTGGGCAAAGCAAGGCGTTTCAGGCTGGTGAAGTGATTAAGTCGGGAGGATCGCTCACGTTGGCTAAACTTTATGGAAAAAACGGCTTCGACGGGATGTTGACAAACGTCAGTGTTTGGGATCACGTACTTTCCCCTGTAGAAATCGAGAAGATATCAAAATCGTGCCTCTCTGGGGAGGGAAACGTATATAAGTGGCCTGATTTCATTCATGGCCTTAAAGGGAAAACCAGAGTAGTTATCCCATCTCCTTGCAAACCAATGGCTTCTTGACTATAAGTTTTCTAATACAAAGCGCTGCAAATGTAACGGAGTTCAAGTTTTTGCACTTCATTAATGCTGTAACGCGCCTTTTCATGGAAACGTAAAATAAAAATGAGCCCAAACTGCATTTGATAGTATTTGTTTTTAACGTCTTTAATGCAACTGTCTGCCATATAAGATCGAGCTAGAGATGCCACTGAGATATTTGGTGCAAACGAGAAGTAAACAATGTATTTCTTCAGTACACGAATTTCAATTTCAATACTTGATACAATTAGCGAATAAGAAAATTTATCACGTTCTAATCCATCAAGCCTTTGCAGTGACAATAACTTCGAAAAAGAAGATAAGCAAGGTACTTATCTTACAACTCAATTACAGTTTAAGAACCAATGCAATGAACAGTAGCGTTTTATTTGGTGAAGCAAAAAATCAAACTGGAACTCAAACTATTTTCAGTCGTCTTTGAATGATTATTTTCCCGGCTGGAGAGGGGTTTGTTTGAAGAAAAAAGAAATGCTGAAAACAAGATAATTAATAAAAGCAGCTTCCTTCCGTTTTTATTTTTCCGCCTTAATTAATGTCAGTTTAGATTTTGCCCCTCTTTTGGTTGCCTTATGAAAGGCCATGTTATGGAATAAAGTAGCGTGGTATTTTTTTTAAAAAAAGCAAACAAACAAGCCAAAAATAGTACTGTACTCTCTTTTGATCAGGTACTGATTTTATATTTCATTTTTTACGTTGAAGTGACTCAGTCGTCCGCTAAGCACAAAACTATAGCATCAGCGCTAACAGTGAGAGGGAGTACACGCGAAATCGCGCGAAAGGCGCGCGAAATTGTCTACCGCTGAGCAACACAGTGTGCCCTGCGGGATCAAATTACCTGTTCGATGTTGTTTATGTTGTATTTGTTTCGGTGAATGGCTTCCATGGCTGAATCTTCGCCGGATCCGGATAAATGTGTTAAGGATACAACCTGTAAGTTAAACCGATATGACCAAGAGGAAAGTGCAAAGAGAGATGCGTATGGAACCACAAACAGGTAACTTAAGCCACATTTAGAGTGTTGAATTGGCTGCACAATTCCTCATTGTGCGCGGCGTAATACATCGACCGGCCCGGTTTTTATGTGCGTGACGATCGATGAATTGCGCCCTTTTTGTTGTAAATGTGTTGAAATCAGTATGTTAAACAAGCTCCTACAGTATACAGGCCGATTATAAAGTTTTTATACCAGTTGCCCGGTAGATTATATAATGCATGAAAGCCTTAAGTAGTGACAACGACTGACAACAGTGACAGGGTTACCCTTTCACGTTTGTAGTGTGTTTGAAGCAAGACAACTCCGAATGAATAAGCATTTTGTGTACTATACGTCATTTTTTATTTGGCCTAGCAAGGTAAGGACGTTATTTAAGAAAAAAAATCCTTGATTAAATTTTACGCCTTGTAAATATAGATATAAATGTCTACAGTATTGAACCGTGTTCAGTGGTTTACGAATACTTTCATTTTCTGTGACTCTTGCTCAATTTTCGGTATTGAACACTTATCACAGAAATATGAGTATAGCGACAGAGAATAGAAAACATGTACAATATTTAACTTGTACATGTACTTTTGTTTTTAGTACATTCACTTGTTGAAATTTTGAAAATTTGCATATCTAATCATTTCGGTGGAGAAAAACCCGCACAAACCAGATAATCTTCTACTGTGGTTATAAGCAATTAACTTTCTCAAAGGATTTTCTTTTATTCATTTTCGTTCCTGTTGCTCATCCTTTTCCAACCCAACTGGGGGCGAGATTAAAGGTGACCAATAAAATAAGAGGTTTAGAATGGTGCAGGTCAACCAAAGTTATAGTTGTCACTCAAGGCTGATGACCAGAGATTTCTCCCAGCTCTGATGAGCATGATCCCCAGTTACTTTCAAGGGGAGAGATGGACATGGGGGTACCAAATACCTAGACTGTGAGCAGTCTCTTATTTTTCTTTGCAAAGTTACTGCACGCGAAAGCTGAGGACGTGAGCGACAAAGCCGTGAGCCTCGAGAAACGAGGGCATAAGCGCGAGAAGAAAAAATAAGAGACTGCTGACTCTTTCGTTTTCTCTGGGGACAACCAAGCTGTCAAGGTAATTTAATTAATCAATTAAACCTGAGTAACTTGAAACGATTTATAAATAGAACAAAAAGAACTGAAAAAATTACACTCTCTTGTATGTTTTGTTTTCCCAATGTACGTTATGTGATAATACTCAGAGAACTGTTTCTTTCAAATTTCTGATTATTGTCATCCATATGTGTGCATAATTTCTGATAAAACGATGAGTCAAATTCCCCTGAGACCTCTATTGGGAAAACAAACATACAAGCTAAAGAGTTTTGATTGTATTTTTGTTTCCTGTTTTTTTGGGGTATGGTTTATGATGATGAGCGTTGAAAAACAAAAAATAAAATTTAAACCAAAGAGAAAACAACCTAGGTTATAAAATTTTAACCTCAATTTAATTTTAACCTGTAACATATATATATCTCAAGCATGTATGCACCAGAAATCAACCTTAGCTGATTGTTAGAAAACATTGAATTTATTGGTACACAGATTGAAAAGCCCAGTCATTGGATGCCACAACAATAAATGGTACCATAATACTGTTAAGGATCTTCTTTTAATGAGTAGGGCAGCCAAAAGGATGAATAAACTACATACCATTGGGCTAGATGATACTGCAATACACATAAAAATTTAAATTACCAAAATACCGTAAAAACTCGTGTATAAGCCGCACCTTTTTGCCGAAATTTTGAGTCAAAAATCGCGGGTGCGGCTTATACACGAGACCATTGCTCTCAAAGGGAGTAAACTCGCTTGTAGGGGTCACAAATTGAACTGAAAACCTTCAGTAAATAAAGATTAAACATATTGAAACCTGTTGTTGATCATTGCTTTCAGTAGAAGTGGTGGCTCCTAAAGGAATGCTCATGTAAATAGTTTTTGCTTTTCTCGTGAAAATGATACCGAACCGTGTTGTACAAGATTTCGCTTTGAACAAAGATTGATGAGCCGTACTTTCAAACATTGTACAATGTAAATAGTTTTTTGCTTAAACAAGGAATTTCGTTTTCTAATATCAAGATATCTGTACCTGTTACTTGTAAATATATTATTCAGTTTTGTAAAATACAGTCTTCACAAGTCCAGCATTTGTTTACTTGTGTCCTTCTCTGGTGTCCAGACTTCCCTCGTCAAATAAACGCGTGGTTACTAAGCAATCGTTTAGTAGCATTCTTCAGCGCTTTATTTTCGTTCCATCGTTCCATTTTCATTTCAACTGTGGGCTTTAGCAATGAAGAGAACTGTTGTCTTTTTTACAAAAGCGCATTTTTGTTTTTTTTTTTTTTTTCAAAATCATGCTTGAAAGTTGGGGGTGCGGCTTATACATGAGTGCGGCTTATACACGAGTTTTTACGGTACTGCTTGAAAACAAAAAGCACAATACCATAATACTGTAAACCCCAATGTCCCCCTCAGGAAAGAAAAGAAAAAAAAACAAAAACAATTTTTTTAGCTGTTTGATTCCCTGCTTATAACTTGGTGACAGCCCTGTCCATCTCCTCTTACATCTCTTCTTATCATTTTACTATAATATTTTACGAAATAATGTACTATACAGGAGAAGGAAAAATTCAGACTGTGCTTGCCAAGGCCTCTATTAAGTAACCACTTGATGGGTGGTTTGATCTGCAATGTTTGCCGTTACATTACATGTATATAATGCACCACTAAGAGTGTGCAAAGAACTTTTAGTGTTAGCAGAGTTCTTCTAGGAAGAGATACCTGTGGTTTGATTCTTGTAAGTAACCACACATTTTGGGGTTTGTCCTAATGGGAGGTTTGGCCATAGTTATTTCTTGAAAGAGATTGCTGTAGTACAACGTGTTTTGGTGGAAATATAAAGAAAAGAGAAAGGTTTCAAAAACTGATGATGATTCAAAACCAGAGGAGGTGGGGGGGGGAAGGTACTCCATTACATAACCCTTTTACTTACGAGGTGATACCAAATGGTATGGTTACTGAACCCCTTTGGTCTGAAATTTTATTCATTAATTCCCTCTGATTTGACTCTTGAATGGAATTAGTGTCTAGATTTGGTCATTTTGTTTACCATTCTTCTTTTAGATAAATACATGTAGAACCATATTTCAGATCTGAAATTTTTATTAAAGGTATTTGAAATAGGATAGGGTTTCTGACATGAATGCCATGCTGTATACATCGAAACAGAAATTAATTTTCTTAACTGCAGAATTACACTGCATGAAACATTGATTACATTTTGTGTGCATGTACATGCAGCTGGCTACAATGTAGTAGTTTTAAAATTTTGCATGGTGGCGACAAAGATGAAAAAAGCAATAGGTTTATATTAGCAAAACAAAAACTTTGCTGTGCTTCACCCTTTTTTTACATTTCTTAGCTGTCGTTACACAACTGCGACATGAGTCATCCTAATTTCATGTGGCTGCTTTTTGGAGTAGGTAGGTTGTAGGTGGGATGTGGTCCTTTAAAATTCAACCCCCCAAAATTGCGCCAACATTTGACAACTTACATGAAATTGAAAGGAAGTTTAATTTGAAACAGTGCCAATTCACTTGTTAAGTGATGTTTTCAGTTCACAGTTGTCCTCAAAGGCAGTAAATTATATTAACAGAAACAACACTATAACCATCAATCTGCACTTACCCAGCCCCATCACCAATGCATTGTTGAGTAGAAAATGGGAAGGGATTGGTAGACAGAAGTGTAGTCAACTCTTTTAAAATAATAAGTATTAATAATCTATTTAAATCTATAAGTATTAATAAATAACAATTTTCAGATTGCACATTACTAGGATGAAATGGCCCTTATGCGTGATTATGTCTGACAAGCAAGTTTCACCACCAAGCATCGTTTATAAGCAAAGTTCTTTGCCTCTGCACTTTTTGTGTGTGGGTATCCTTTTCAACTGTGCTGACTGAGGAATTCATTTATGTAAAACTTCGCAACTTTATATTTTGAAAATGAGACTTGGTGGTGACTTGAAATTTACTTGTCTTGCGTGAACATGTATAAGGGCTAATTGAAAGAACCTGAGTTCTCTGGGGTACCATCACATGGTCTTAAATAGGAAAACGAAACATATAAGAAAAAAAGGTCTGTTACCTTTAAAAGAGATGAAAAAAGCACATAATATCAGTTAAACTAATACAAGTCATGTGCATATTGGTAACGTGTAAAATGTGCTTACATTGCTAGCTAATGAATAAAAGCAATGCGCAAGCAACTCTCTATATTAATTTTAAAAAATGGACACCTTTGGGACTTGCACTATATGTCTATCTTAGGGATTCATCTCTGTCTTATACAGAGTGAACTAAATGGAGCAAAGAAAGGTATGAACCAGCTCTAAAAGTTTTTTTTTAGTGAGGTGTTCATTTTATAGAGGTGCCAGTAAAGAGCGAGTTGACGATAAACTAGAATTAAAATTATCTCATTTTAGGTATGAAATTCCGGAGTCAAGTGAAGGCCCTCTCCTCGAGTTTGATGACGTTTTGAAGTCTGTTGGTGAATTTGGTTCATGGCAGAAAGCTCTTTTCTTCCTGACTTGCACCTTTGTGATCATACCCAGTGCTTTCCAGATAACCAGTGTGATCTTTGTATCTGGGACACCCAAGTTTCAATGTACAACACCAGACATCACGTGTGATGTGGACAAATGCTGTAAAAACTGCACAAAATATGAGTTCATTCAAAACTACACAACTATATCCACCGAGGTAGGAACACCAATGACACTCAATGACTTGCCCATGTAAGGTAATCCAAGACAGTCTTGGATTCTGGAAGTGAGGTACTGGATTCTGGACTCCTTGACTGTGGAATCTGGAACAGTGGATCCCAATAAAGTATTGTTAGTGGGATTTTCCAGATTTCTTGAGCTGAATTCTGGATGCCAAAGCCTAGGATTTCGGTTTCCACAACGAATAATTTCCTTGATTCCAGAATCTGGATTACTTTGCAGCTGTGCAGCTGTACATTTTGACAATCAAGTCTTTCTATTCTGGACGCCACATAGTAATTCGATTGTAGCGCAATCAGAATGAATGATAAAATAATGATAATTTTTTTCTCTCTCTAGTACAATCTCATCTGTGATAGAGCTTACATCGCCGCTAATGTGGATGCAGGTTTTATGGCTGGAATGTTGGTTGGTTCCTTCCTGTTTGGATTTGTCTCGGATGCCTTTGGTCGGCGGTTTTGTATGTTGATTTGTTCAGTTCTCATGGTAGGTCTTACTTTAAAGTTATTCTACATCTAGAAATGATGGTTTATGGTCATCTCGCCACCAACGAAATCGCTACCAAGTTAGTAGCCTCCCACGCAGATGTTCTTGGGGGTTCGTCACTCGTTTGTCACGCGTTCGTGGGGCAGGAACGCGTGACAAACTCCTAAGAACGTTTGCTTGGGAGGCTATTAAGTTAGTTGACTCGCCACCAACGAAAAGTTCTGAAATAATTGACACAGTTTGATACCTAGGGTTACTTACCTAAGATTTTTCAAGTTTTTCGTCAAGGTTGTTCGAATTTAAAGTCGATCGTAATTGACGATCCTTGCGTCGAACGCTTTATTATCCGTTCATGAAGGTTCAAAACAATTCTAAGCCAAGTTCTATCCTTGTGGCGATTTCGTTGGTGGCGAGGTGACCAGATACAACATGATTAGTTATTTTCTAGTGCAGTGAAACCTACGTAAAGGGGAATGGTATCAGGGGCACCCAACGACAATTTTCGGGAAAATATCTGTTCGGAAGACGATTTGAGATCTAGAATTTTCGGAACGTTTGTTGTAAAATTTCTTGCTTGCCTGCCTCTCCTAGGATTTTCGAACATCTAAAAAATGGTAAAATTGCCCATTTTCAGCGGATTTTTACCCTAAAAAGGTCACCTAGAATTTTCGGGAGCCTTTTTTCTGGCTGAAACGGGTAAGTTTTGATCCCTATAATTTTCGGATCACTAGTCTTTCAGCTAGGAAATCCGAACAGATGAAAAATTTATAGGGGATAAAAATATGCCCATATCCACCGTTTAAATACCAAAACACGTTTAACAATGCTATGTTTAAGTGGTTTTGAACTATATTCTCGTTGGGTGCCCCTGTGGTATCATACGAACACGAGTGTCAGCAAATTCCGCGCTTTCCTTTTAATTGTGAGCTTAAGAGGATACACCGTTTCTCTCTGCGGGTACGGGTAGACAAACTTGTTTGCCACGTAGTTATACAAAAGGTGATCATGATTTGCCAGAAGTGATAATGTGTGTGCGGGGGAGGACCGTAACGATACTCACGCTGACGTCACCTACTGATGTAAGTGTGCTTGCCAGAAGCGCATTAGCCTCCCTGCAGACGTCCTTTGGGTTTGTTCGTCATGCCAGTGCGTGACGAACGAACCCCAAGGGATATCTGCAGGGAGGCTAGAAAGGCATTGGTTTTTGTAACAAAAGATTCTTTCGTTTCTCTCGATACAAACTTTAATAACAAGATCAATGTTTTTAAACAGTGATGACTTCTATACCCAAATAAGCACGACGTACACAGTCAAGCCTGAAAAACACCAAAAATTTGATTGGTTGACCATATTTTTCCAATGAAAGTCGTGTACCACTACCCACCCGTACTTCCTTTCAAATAATTTCACGATCCTCGGAATTTTCGTGGAAACAGTTCTCGTCGAAATGCCTTACACGGGTGTCCTCTCTGTATCCTTAGAAAAAGAGAGAGTGTACAAAGTTGAACTGTAGATCTGCAAATCAGCAAATTGCTTAGAAGCGTGCTCTATATCTAGCCCTTTGCGATTTTCCCAATCACTATGTACTCTTCATTTTCATCCCGTCCGCCCTAAAGCAGCTCTGTCCTTCTTTCTATTTGGTTATGTATTTTTCAGACAGCATTCGGCCTTGGTTCCGTTTACACCCAGTCGTTGGTCCTCTTCGCTTTTCTCCGTTTTGCAACAGCACTCTCTATGATGGGATTTTACGTTGTTCAGTATGTCTACATTCTGGAAATCGTAGGCCGTGATTACCGCACTATGGTTGGTTTTTGCGCATTTATATTCTGGCTTCCTGGAGAAGATGGAGTAGTATTGATTGCTTACTACATCCGGGAATGGCGAAGACTTCTGCTTGTGTTAAGCTGCCCTCCCGCACTGTTCATTTTCTTGTACCTGTAAGTTTGTCAGTCTGAAATGCCGACTGTCGTCTTCCTCTCAACATTGTTAGTTCATGAGAAGACCTAATCTCGTTCTCATATACAACTCTGTCTTTCGCTGATATCTGGGTACGACATTAGTTGACACCACGACATTTTGAGCCCGTCCTTTCCAACATCTAGCGACGTTTTTGACAAAAACGTCATGTCAACAGCAAGTGTGCTTTTTTCTCTTTCAATTTGCCTTTTTGACGTTATCAAATTTGTATTGCTAAGTGTTTTTACTCTTATAGAGACGATTTGCCTAAAAATTTGCTCAAAATCACGGCACAAGAGCAAAAAGTCTACTTCCGGTTGACGTAAGTCCCGGAAAACGTCGCTGCTTAAACCTTAAACTCCCTTTGTGAGATGGGAAACCTTATGATGTACAATACAACGTTAGGAAAATAGATGTACAAGCTTGTACAAAACGGGTTACAGCAACCGCCTTGGTAAACATTTGATTTTAAAATTTCAGACTTCAGTTGAAAACATCTATCAAATCACGCACAGTAGATGAACAGCCGGGACATCAATAAATCTGGTACACCTTGAGTACCAGAATAATGTAGCCCCAGTTGTTCAAACGCTTCCTCGGAGACCCAGGGGCGGATAGTGGGGGCGAGAGAAAGTCTAAACGGGCTGGAAAATATGGCACGAAGAAAAGTAAAGAAAAGCGAGAAGAGCCCCTGGGGACAATGTCTTACCAGACCAGTTACAAACGGTCGCCGCCGTTCTGCCTTCTGATCGGGCAGAAAAACACAAAAGTTTTCTGGCACTAATCAGAAGCCAGAACGACCCCGAGAGTTTGGAACTGGTCTGGTAAGACATTGTCCCCAGGGGCTCTTCTCATCGTTCTTCACTTTTCTTCGTGCCATATTTTTCCACCCGTTTAGACTTTCTCTCGCCCCACTATCTGCCCCTGGGTCTCCGAGGATGGTTCAAACGGTGCAAATGGAGGGAAAGGGTTGCTAGGAACGGTCACCATGACTACGGGATGGGTTCAGGTGCAGGTGCATGCAGTGGAGAACTCAGTCGACCTTTCCACGGTTTTTTTTTTTCCACTTTTGTCATGAACAAGTTGGGAAAAATCTGTCAACTTCGCTGGAAAGGGCGCATTTGAAATTAGAAAACGTGCCAATTTTAAAAGTGATATGTTGAAAACTAACGAAGTTATAACTCCACAAAGTTGCGAAATTTATAGACGTTTGTATGGTGGGGGGTTAGTTTGTGCCCCCCAGCATACAAACGTCTGTAAAATTTCGCGTTTCGAAGGAGCTAGATTTTTGCTCACTTTGATGAATCACTGTCAAACTTAATAATTTTACTAATTCTTAGGGCTCTTTCCAGTGGTGTCAACAGATTTTCCCTAACTAGTCCATGTCACGGATTGAAAAAACCGTGGAAAGGTCTTTTGGTTTTCAGAATACCTATACGCTTGAAAGTAATTTATCTGGCCTCAGTTCAAACATTGGATAGCACTATCCACTGGAGAAATCACTCTTCAGCGGATAAGTATTGGAGAAACCAATTAGACTATCCACTAGATAGTATCCGCCGGATAGCGCTATCCAGCCTTTGAACAACTGAGGCCTGGTGGATAGCGGTATTCAATGTTTGTGAAACACCAGGACCTGTTGTAACTTCTAATGAGCGCGCTTTCCCATGTTCTCAGCCTCGTTCAAGTTCCATTTTCTGATCGAAGCCTTGAGTCGTCATCGTTAAATGTGTTCAAGACTTCAAGTTAACATGTTATTGCTTCTGTTCTTTTAGCATTGTTCCAGAGTCCCCGCGTTGGCTCGTTTTACAAGGTCACGTCAAGGCGGCTTGTAAAGTTTTAATGAAATTTTCAAGTAATAAGAGATCAACACCAACAGATCCTGATCTGTTGAGAAGTCAGCTAAAGAGTTTACATCGCTCTGAAACAAGTCCACATGCACCGTCAAGAAATGTCAATCACTCACCTTTGGATCTCTTAAGAACACCACGCATGCGTAAAAGGACGCTCATCTTTTGGTTCAACTGGTAAGTAATCAGCAAAAAGTAGAGAATCTGGAATAAGCCAATCAGGGCTGCGCGTTAAACTAGGTCGTTGTTGTGTCGAACTGCACTGTAAGACTGATTTGGGGAAGCTATTGCTGCTCATCACTGACTTCTATAAGGTCTCGCGTTAGAATAGGTGGGTGTTGTATCAAACTACAATGTGAGACTGAATTTGGGGAAGTTATTGCTGCTCATTACTGACTTCTAGAAGGTCTCGCGTTAGACTGGATCGGCGTTGTGTCAAACTACAATTTAAGATTGATTTGGGGAAGTTATTGCTGCTCATTACTGACTTCTATAAGGTCGTGCGTTAGTGTGGGTCGGTTTTGTATCAAACTACAATATAAGACTAATTTGGGGAAGCCCTTGCTGCTCATTACTGCGTTCTATAAGGTCGCTCGTTAGACTGGATCGGTGGTGTGTCAAACTACAACATAGGACTGAACTGGGGAAGCTATTGCTGCTCATTAGTGACTTCTATAAGGTCGCGTGTTAGAATGGGTGGGTGTTGTATCAAACTACAATTTAAGACTAATTTGGGGAAGCTATTGCTCCTCATTTCTGCCTTCTGTAAGGTCTCGCGTTAGACTGGGTCGGTGGTGTGTAAAACTACAATATAGAACTGAATTGGGCAAGCTATTGCTGTTCATCACTGACTTCTATAAGGTTGCGCGTTAGACTGGGTCGGTGTGTTATCAAACTGCAACAAGGGACTGATTTGGGGAAGCTATTGCTGCTCATCACTGACTTCTATAAGGTCGCGCGTTGGACTGGGTCGGTGGTGTGTAAAACTACAATGTTAGGCTGATTTGGGGAAGCTATTGTTGCTCATTACTAACTTCTATAAGGTGGCGCGTAAGATTGGGTCGGTTTTGCATCAAACTACAATGTAATACTTATTTAGGGAAGCTATTGCTGCTCATCACTGACTTCTCTAAGGTCGCACGTTAGACTGGATTAGTGTTGTAGCAATAAACACTTTAAGACTGATTTGTGTAAGCTATTGCTGGTCATTACTGACTACTATATGGTCGTCGCGTTAGACTGCATCAGTTTTCTATCAAACTACATTGTCAGACTGATTTTGCGAAGCTGTGGCTACTATAAGGTCGCCGCGCCGTTAGACTGGATCAGTGTTGTCGCAAACTACATTGTAAGACTTATTTGGGGAAGCTATTCTTGCTCATTACTGACTTCTATAACGTCGCGCGTTATAGTGGGTCGGTGTTGTGTCCAACTTACTTTAAGACTGGTTTGGAACGCTGTTACTTTTTTTTCTCTCCTTTTCTGCCATATCTTTGGAAGAGTTTGCTCGCAGGCTTAAATGGAACTAGGTTTCATCATGTTTGTTTTTTCTTTCTCTCTTTTTTTCGCATATAGGTTAGTTACAGCGGTAGTTGTTTTTGGTTTCATGTTCTACATCACAGATTTAGCAGGAAATTTTTATCTCAACATGGCCGCCATGTATATTGGTGATGTGCCAGGTGTCCTGATAATGTGGATAACTGTACAAAAGTAAGTTGTGAAAAAATACATTTACTATGGTTTTTTTTTGTAAAATTACATAGTGCCCAACGCGTATGGAGCCCTGTTGCTAAGGAATATAGACCCTAACCCTCTAACTCCCAAGGCGGATCAACACCAATTTTCTCCTAACAAAATCCGGACATCATCAAGGGTAAGGGACTTGAGAATTGATAAAATCATCACCAAAGGGAAAATGCTTTGATCTTTTGTCATGTTTCTCAACTAAATCTTCAGTAAATTGTACAAATTGTATAAAAGTACTCGGATTTTTTCTTCCGAACAGCCTGTGCCACTTATTGAAAAAGAGTCTTATTCAATAGTAGAGTAATTTTAAATACAATAAACCATTTGCTTTTAGAGTTTATAACATTGCTTGTGGATCGTGATACTACTCCCTTCTTTTCCTGTGCTCTTGATTCGTTTATGTGGAGAAGAAAGATGCTGGGCGTTATGATCTTGGAATATCTTAGTCACGCCGTAACTTTTTGTGAATATTCTTGTTTTAACCTTGTTTTTCAGGTTTGGTCGTCGCATCCCTAACTTTGTTTGTATGATTGTCGGTGGCGTGTTTTGTCTAATTGTTTTCGCTGTTCCAGCCAGTAAGTGTTGGTACAACTATCGGGGAGGGGGGGGGAGGGAGGGAAAGTTTTCCAAAGGTTCCCTCCCCCCCCCGCTTAACGGGCTGGGCGAAGAGAGGACTGACACCTCATACTATTTGAACAGGGCTGTCCTACATATCTCTACATGTGGGTTGAGTTTGTTGTTGGTTTTCTCCCTTGCTCCAAGAGGTTTTTCTGTGGGTACTCCGGTTTTCCCTCTTCCGTAAAAACCAACATTTTCAGTTCCAATTCGACCAGGAATCAGGTAGACGAAGAACCACTCTGTGTGGTTGTGCTACCTCTAAATCGTTATTTATTTATTTATTTGTTACAAATAAACAAAAACTGGGTTCTGCCTTTCCCTGATTGATTAGGCACTGATATTACAAGGAGAAAGTAGGTAATAATCACTTAAATAGCTCAAGAGAATGTGTTCCCGGAATGTTCCACAGTATTCAAAACTACGCCATTGTCATATTAAAGCCTATAGTTGAAGGGTAAGCGATTAGTTATGGGTATGAACGAGTTTCTGTGTAAGAAAGTAAGGGAAGAGGTGGGAGAATTAGATAGATGGTTAATGTCCCCGCAGGAATAATAAAACAAGAAAGCTCAATTCCTTTAAGCTACTTTTCTTGGAAAACGAAACAGCCGGTAAGCCAGGCTTTTCACAAGCATGGCATAATAGTGGCCAAAGCGAAAGCGACCATATTGAAATCCAGCATGAAAAATAGTTTTTCAACTCAAAACTTACTCTGCGAGCAGAGGTTTCTCTCTCGCATGGCTTTTAACTTGTACGAATGGAGTCGTTCGCGTCGCTTGTCAGTCTCGTAGTTGGTTTGTTTTATACGACCCAGGAGAAACTGATATTTTCTCTTAAGGATGTTTCTCCTGTGGCTTATAAACAAACCAACTACACGACTGACACGCGACGCGAACGACATCGTATACCCTTAAAGACATGAAAGAAACAAACCTCTACTTGCAGGGTACTCAAAACTATTCAAGCTCGCAACTTTCTTTTAATTCTCTTGGAAAAACAGCAAAGTAACGCCTTCATTATTTGACCTTTTCAGATCAGAAGCGAGTTAGTACAGTGTTGGCACTCTTTGGAAGGTTCTTTGTAAACTGTTCCTTTAATCTATTGTTCCTCTACTCCAGTGAATTGTATCCTACGTCAATCAGGTGAGGTTATTTTTCCCCTCCTCTTTTTCAATTATTTTCATTTCTTCACTTTCCTGTTTTCGTTTTTAGTCCTTCTGTTGTATTACTGAGTATATGCTCTCAAGTAGTTAGTATAATCACATTGATGATTATCGAAAATAGAGCGCTATGATTGGCTAGGAGCTTCGCTTTATCCCGCTATGATCACCGCGCGGTGATTATAACATTGAAGGCTAGCAGTTTTCAAAATGGCAGCCAGATTTGTTGATGTTTCGGAGTCGGAAATTGATCAATAATTTTATTTTCTCGAATAATCATCAATGTAATTAAACTAAAACAATAGTCGCATTAGGCGACGTGAATATTGGCGAATAGTCACCTCGACTTCTTCGCGGTGAGTGGCTCCGGACCGTTCTCGAAATACCTAGGGTGAAATAAACGGTGCTCACGGTTTGATAAAGCTCCCGCCGGGTGTGTGTGTGTGTGTGGCGCGGTGGGGTGGGGTGGGGGGGGGGGGGGTATTCCCTAAAATAGACTGATTCAGCAACAGAGAACGGAACGTCAGTTGACGACGGCGCGCGCAAATCAAAAAACTGGCTTGACGAATGGCAGAGCGGCAAATTGGGCACCGGAAGTCGAGTTTAGTCCTTTCCGCGCTCCTTCCCGTCGTAAAATGACTTTCCCGTTCTGTTGCTAAATCAGCCTAATGGCCTGTACAGGAAGGGTCCGCCACAAAGGGAAGCCTTTTTCAGGGTTCAGGTATCTGAAAGGGGTAGGGATTACACTCTGTCATTGCGGTCCTAGAGAGGGCCTAAACGGACTAACAGAGGAATCTGATGGCTTTGAAAATGGCAAGAAAACTTCCTAGGTTAGTGATTTGTTCACATTTAAAAGACGGTGAAGTTGTAGCAGCTTAAAGGGGTGCATCGTTCTACTTAGTGTGGCAAAAGGGTACCATTTTTCAATAGAAGGTATACGAAAGGGGTACCTTTTCTGTGAAAATGGTATGTAAAGGGATAAGGAGTTGGACAGCGGGGCGGAGCCTCCCAAGGTAAAATCTTGTTGAGTACTCCTGGGAACTCCCGAGACTATCAGGAATTGGTTGAGGGAAAAACCTCTGGTACCCAGGGTAGATAGATACGTACTAACACTGTTGTTTTGGATCATTATGAAGTTTCTGGGAAACTGCCCACCTACCCCTCCCCTAAGCCAACATTTTGCCCTAAGTGAGAAGGAAGTGTAAATGTTAGCTTAGGGGAGGGTTAGGTAGTCAGTTTCCCCAGAATCGTAAAATGATCCTTTTTTTTGTCGTTGGTGCTTTTTAGAAATCTCGCCTTGGGCAGTTGTTCAACACTCGCTCGAGTGGGCTCCATTGCTGCACCCTATGTCGTTATGCTGGTAATTAATCCTCGTTCATTCATTTGCTCACGCGTTTAGTAATTCACTCATCACTTCATTCTATAGTTTATCTGCTTTATTCATTCGCTTAGTCTTTCACTCCCCATCGCGGCCCTTACTGGCTAATTCGTTCGTTCGTTAGCGACGCAAGGCGCCTTACGAGCGCTGAAGGCGCGATCTACCTAGTGGGATCGGGGGCATGTTCCCCCGGAATTTTTGAAAAAGAACACTCAGAAACACTGTTTTCAGCGTTACTGGAACCCGAGAATTAGTTTCCCAGGCAAGGTTGGAGTTCACTCAAACTCTGAGAAATGATGAGTTAAACAATTATTATAAAGCAAATCAGCATTTAAATTTAACATTTATTGTACCGCAACTTGAAAAAATCTGTAATTCCTTGTAAATAATGACCGCATTAGTAAAGGGCCGCTTTGTTTGTCTTTTTTTTCGGTATGCAGAAAATTACCCTTTCTACTGCTCACCGTCAGTAGAATAAAACACTCATGTCATCATGCCCGTGGATTTAACCTTTCCTTGCTAATTTTTAGATTTTCATTTTTCATTCAAGTCATTCGTTCGTTTGTTTGTTCGTTTGTTTATTCAAATAAATATTTAGTGAGGTAGGCATTCGTTCTTTCCCTCCTTTAAATTCCTTCCTTCTTCATAGTCCTTTACACTTTCATTACTTCATTCACCTATTTGCGCTGTCAATCATTCTTACCCCTCTTCTCCAATTAATTGTTTTTAATTTTTGTTTTCTGTTAGTCTCAATTACCTGGTCTCCCTGTGACCTTTCCGATGCTTATCTATGGTGTACTGGCTATAACCGCTGGCTTCTTGACATTGTGGTTACCAGAAAGCCTGGATTCCAATATGTGTCAGACAACAGAAGAAGTTAATCAAGCAGAAGAATATTATGGTTTTATATGGATGGGAAAACGGGCTTTGAACCCTTTCCGGTGTTTAAGGTAATGCTTCAAGAATTCTCCCATCCACTTTATTGCCCTTAGCAGCGTGTTATTCTAGAGTGTCGGCAATCTCTTATGTTTTGTACTAACAATCGTTGAGCCGTAACGTTCATTTTCAACCTCGTCCCCAGGGCTTTTCCCTTAAAAAATGGGTGAGCATCCATCTTGCCCTATGCAGAGAGCGAAATCTGGGGAGACAGGAAACTACCGTGGGTTTAAAAGTGTAATTGTGTGTTCGTGTGAGGGAGAGGGGTGGGAAGGGCTCTCGTAGGTCTTAAGTCTTCTTCGCAACCGTTTTTAGACTCGTCACGCAACGCGTTTTAGGCTCGTCACGCAACGCGTGACGAGCCTATAAACGGCTGCGAAGGAGACAAGTGGGTCTTAGGCCTTTCTGCAAAGTCTCTTCGCAATTCGCGGTCAGTGAAGGAGACCTTATTCTCATGAAGACAGTCCTTTTTTTCAGACAGTAGTCTGATGCCGGCTTAAGGTACAGTAAAAACCTGCATATAAGAGTCATTGTCTTCCTCCTTTATTTTAAGTATTTTTGACAATGCAATTTTAAAAAATTATATCTCTGTTGTTATTTACAGTTCCAAATAAAGCTATACCTCATTGGAAAGGGCAAAAATTAAATTTTCAGAAAAAAAAATTTCGTCTTATTAAGAACCTGCAAGCTGAAATTTGGCATTTTAAGAGCTGTTGTCTGTTAATATCGAGAATCCGGCGCCAGATCGGAAAATCCCTTTTGGTAAACTATTTTCAAAAACAATGTTCAAAAGTTCCAGCGAAGCTCCGTTTTTGCGAAAAATAGCAAGGCTAAAAATCGGCCTCAACTCGGTCGAAGGCCCGATGGAAATTATGCAAATTAGGGCATTTTCAAAACGCTCGTACGAAAAAACGAAAGCTAATCTATAGTTCATCTTTACAAGGTTTGTTGCACGATTCTCAAAGTTTCTTTCAAACCTTGTAAAGATGAGCTATAGGTTAAATTCGTTTTTTCGTACGAGCGTTTTGAATATGCTCAATTTGCATACTTTCCATCGGGCCTTCGACCAGGTTGAGGCCGATTTTTAACTTTTTTATTTTTCGCAAAAAGGGAGCTTCGCTGGAACTTTTGAATATTGTTTTTCAAAATAGGTACAGGTATAAAGCGTAATTTACGCACGGACAAAATATGTTTATAAGAGATTACATTTATTAGATTGAAAGTGAGATTTGGATCGTTGTCATGGCAACATAAATGATTGAAAACAAGCATTAAATTATCTAATCTACCAGTGATTAGGTTTCCTTATGAATTTGCACACAACTTACAATAATTAGTAACACTCATTTTTAAATAAACAACTAAACCAAATTGTAACTTAAGTTTTTTAAATTTTTAAAGAAAATAGCTGTCATGAAAAACTTGATTGTGTCACAAAACTCCTCCGGTCAAAAATTATTTTTTGGCGTTCATTGACGTAATGGCGATATGAACAGCTTTTCTGCCAAATTTCGTCAAAATTTAAGGAGTAGATTTTAAGATATTGTTGTTTGTTTACATTGCCTTGAAAAGTCAACAAAACAAGCCCTCTCACATTACTCCCTAAGTAAGCATGCTCAGCACTTATGAGCGCGCTAAGATTTTATACGCTGAGAACACGTGATATGTCAAAGGCGACCAAAGAAACTATCTCTCCATGATAAAGTTGTTAGCATGCAAAGTAAAGGTGATGTCGTCCCGTGTAACATCACCTTGAAGGGATAAAGCAGTTCTAGAGAATCTGTGTTTACCCACGTCAAGAAGTTTCACGTTTCATTCGTGCAGTGACGGAAAAGAAATGTACAAAAAAGCGTGATGCACGTGCAAAGTTGTTGTTTTGGTCATTAAACCCACATCGACCTTTTTGCCGTCGTCGTTGCTAAGTTCCCTGCGTGCTCTTTGATGGTCGCTGTATATTCTCCTTTGCCTTGTGTAAAGTATATCAAATCAATTTTTGCAAAGCTTTTTTTCTTTTATAACAGGTCCTCCGTCGTCAATGTGGATTCTTCAGTGGACGTTCCTAAAAATCAAGAATATCCTACAGAACGATCCCCATTAATTAATTAGAAATTCAATTTTGTTATTTTTAGTGAGCAAAGTACTGAATGAAAAAAGAAATGATAGAAATATTTACGAATTCTTATTAAAATTACTTGTACATATGAGAAAATAAGTGGTCACTGCTGCTGTTTTGGTTGACTTTTAACTGTCCCGAGGATGGAGCGCTCAGAAACCACTTTTTTCGCCTTCTAACGCACTTGCAGTTGCTATTACGCAGTTGTTTCGTTAGCCAATTAACCCCCCTCCCCACCCATCCCTCTTAGTTTGTTGGATGTAAAAGCAAGATTGCTTTTTAGTAAAGCACCGTCCAGACGAATCGAGATCAATTGTAAAAAACTAAGGTTTTGTGACAGGTTTAACTAATAGCACAAGAGATTGCTTTCATTTATAGCGGAGCTCTCGCGCGCGAAGCGCGCCAGCGGAGCACCATGGGTAAGAAAATTTGGTAAACTATCCATCCGATAAAATTTGGTTATGACGTAGCGTACGCCCACCCGTACACACACTTCATGTAAGCCGATGTCAAGTGTCACACTTGTCAGGACCGTGAAATAAATAACAACGGAGACTAATGCCGCTGGAAGAAAAACATGAAAATTATATAGCGGCGGTTAGAACATGAAGAATGCTAGCGGCTACTAATGTGAAAAAGCAGCGGCAGTGAAAAAGTAGAATGAACAGGAACACAAACATTTCCTCCATAAAACGCGTAAATAGGAAGCTAAAAGAAGTTTCACGTTAGTCGTATAAAACAACGGTAAGGAAATGTACAAAAAAAAACTGCTGCACGTGCAGAGTTGTTTTTTTGCTAATTAGAAAAAAAGTGTGCTGCACGTGCAAAGTTGTTTTTTTGCTAATTAGATCTATTGTTGTTGTTTTTAGCGTTTTCGTTGCTTTCAACTTGTCTTTAGTATTCATCGATTTTATATTTTCTTTGAGGAATCTATAAATATTAAAGAGAGCTTCGCTTTTAGCCCTGGCTAAATCTATATATTATCCCAATCTACAAGCCTCCAATTTTTTAAATAATCTTTTTCTTTATTTTTGGTTTCTTTTGAATAAGTTTTTGCTTCTTTTTCTTTATTCTACAATATTTTCAAGTTTGCTCTTTTTCAATTGCCTTAAAACCAAAATCCAAAGTTTAGCCAAAGAAGTTTGAGAGAACAAATAACGTTAATTAGAACCTCATGAGAATTTAACATGGATATTTAATTAATTTGCATTTTCTGCACGCCTTTTCCGGCACTGAGAAAGTTACGGCGAAGGAAAATGAGAAACAAAAATCCGTTTTTAGGTATACTTTTGGCAGGAAAACCGCTCTTTAACCATGGTAAAGCAGGGAATTGATCCGTAGTTATTTCTACAGCGTAAAAATACTTTATACGTTGTGAACCGAGCGCAAAGCGCTTGCAAGTGAACCAAAGATCATCCAAGCACAGGGAAAATCATGATCAACCGTTAATTGGACAGTGATAGAGACGTCTTTTTAAGAGGTAAGATTCACAAATTGTTCTTAGTTTGTCTTTATAGTACTCAGTTAAACATAAATTTGGAAAAAACATCGCAGAAAATGTGCGAAAGGGCGAGAATTGGCGCGCGAGTGTCCAGACTATCTCGCTCCTCGAATGGACTTGATCACTCGCGCGACAAAGCGCTGTGGCATCACCAACAAACGCATTGCAAAATTTAGGGTAACCCCTTCCCATATGAAGGAGAGGTTATTGACAATGTCGTTTTGGTGCGCTATCAATCTAAGAGAGAAGGGATATTTCCTGAGAATTGTTTTCTAAATTTTAAAGAATAACCAAGGGAGAGATTTCATCTTAATTCAAATGTAGTCCTTGATACTACCACTGTGTTCGAATTAAACGGTGTACCATAAAAATTAAACGTAAAATTGAACAAAAAAATCTGAAAAATCTACTTTTCGAATACACCGAGCAGGGAGGGCTAGGGTGTGTTCGCTCATCCCCCCAACCCACCCCCTACTCCTACACACTTAAAACTATCCCAGGTTTCACTGCAAGAAAGTTGAAACCAAGATGGCCGCTCACTGCTTCAGTAAATTCTGGAGAAGGGAAGAATACTCAATGAGGGACCATAGTTGGACTATAACCAGTATACAGCAGTCGTTATTACGTTTTTAATCGGTCATGGCCCGAAACTTCTTTAGCGAAGACCACCAAAGGGCAGACTCAAATGTTTTTTGGCCAGGTAAATTAAAGGTTTTGTTGATCAGGGCTTGGATGAAGTTAAGCTTATACAATGTACTCTTAAGCTCATGACTTTAAATATTTTCTTAGGAAAAAATGGGACGTAAAAGGGCGATCATTTCTTCTATTTTGATGACTAAAATGTTTGGTAAAGCAGCAGTTTTGAAAGCTGAAGCCCTGGGAGAATTAGTTTGGAATAAGGGAAGCACGTGTGCTTTTAATTGCTGGTTTGCACGTGACGTCACGGCGGCCATGTTGGTGGTCAAGAACAAAAGCATTTCTCTCCTCTGGGAACTAAACTCTATTTTCATGTAAATTCTTCGAGAAAAAACTCTATTGCATTGACCCCCAACATGGCCGCCTTGTCACGTGGTTGCAAATCAAGAATTTAGTTTATATGAACGTTCAATAATATACAGTGTAAATGGGACTTTTGAAGACGCTAGTAGTATCACGATACAATTTCAATGGACTTTGCTAAGAAATACATGTAAGGATATATATATTGATGGTTTTCACAGTGATGTCATCAAATTGCAAAGTCAAAAAAGCCAGGTTTTACGAATTCGTATTTACACTGTGTTCAAGACAAATAGAAAATAAATATTTGTACAAGTTTCCAGTCCCTTTGCATGTTTCATTTCGAAAATACAGCATTTTTTACTTTCGAGTTTTCACAGTGCCTGACACCAAAATAGGAATGCTGTCTCATTGAAAAAAGTCTCTCCTCTTGATTTCAGCAGTTTAACCATTTCAGGTATTAAGGGTGTGTCCATGAGAGAACCAGGCAGGAGGTGATAATGCTCAAATCACGGATTTCGCTCAAACGAAATGAGATATTAACCTCGACAAAAAATAAGGTCGCAATATTGAATTCCCTGGGATTTACAGGGACCCCCTCTAAAAACGACAAAATCTACTCATTTTTGCATAATTAATTAGCTGACTTTGGTTTGGCTGTTCAGCAAGAAGAAAAGACAACTTCAAATCTAATCAACTTTATCATCTTCTATGTTTATCAAACTTAATGCTCAGTAACTTATTTTTACTCTCTAATTCGATCTCTTCCTATTATTTAGCCTAAAGTAAGGACATCTTCTCACTGTTTTGACCAAACCCTAAATTTAAGGTATTTTAGTGGCTAACATCTCCCATGAGCAACAACCTATGTACTTAATTCTCACATATTCTTTGAAAGACATCTTTAAGGTTATCAAATCAATCATAAAATATTTGGGCAATCTCATACTTTATCAATAATGACGTATTATGTACATCTAACTTGACGCTTATTTGTCATTTGACCAAAATTGGAAGAAACGTAACATTCGTTTTTTTAAACAAAAATAGCACAAAGTTGACGAGAAGTCACAAATCAGATGCGTCATTATCGATACTAATAGCGGAATTGTTAGAACGTGTCACCTGAGGCATGTTTTCTGTGTTATTTATGGACGTTTGGATGGATATTTTATGGAACGCTTGAGTAAACACAAGGAGCAAAATAGTTAGTTCAAAACTTCGATCGGTCCAACTTGCAGGTGAAGCAAGACCCAACAACGATAAAAGATAGCGAATAAATGCTACATACACGTCTCTCAGGTGCTTTAGTCCAGACTTGCCGCTCCAGTTTCGTCTGGTCCTTTGTGGCGTTACTTCTTGACGAGGTAATGAAATCGAAACATCTTGAAACATTGCAGAATTAAAAGTGTCGGCTTTTCACCGAACATTCGAAGTCTTTGAAAAATGTTGTAGTCAGAAAGAACAAAATCATTCTCAAAGGACAAGAAGGATCACTGACAATCTGTCTATATCTACAACCACCTGCTCGAACACCCTCCATCTTGACTTTAGACTCTGCCAAAAGGATGGAATGTGTGACGCCGGACTACCGGACTCCGGAATGCGGAATACGCTATCTATTGTTGTACGCGCCAATATCCTGTTATAACTGGTGTGTTGAAAATAGGTTGTGAAAGTCGTGTTACTTCAAATTTTGAGTTTATTCGATGTTGACATTAATTACCATGATAATAATGGTCCATAATAGCCCTTTTTGTAGTCAGACCGTGCCATGCAATTTTTAGACAATTAATGCCTTGCCACTGCGTTACTTAGTTGTATTTTAATCCTCGTAGTCTTACAACTATACAGGTTGGTATCTGTATCTGGGTATATTATTGACTACAAAAATATAATAATCACCGTTTATAAACGTGTTGAGGAAAAACTTCTGAGGAATACAAAAGACCCAAAAGGGGGCACTAATACATTGCCAAAAAAGTCGGCTAGACTTCTTTGGCTATAAGGAAGGTGTAAAAGAACAGTTTCTTGAACACAGACTAATACACTATATTCACTTCTCATTTAAGCTGTCATTTGCGGATTCATACACTAGATTAAGTTTTCTTAACGGACACTCTCGTATATAGCGAATAGCTCTACTTACGACCGCCATCACAAAATCCCGTTTCAACTCCCACACAAACTCTGTATTTTTACATTCCCGTAGACGGCCGCGGACACTTAAAGGGTTTACCGGCGAATTAGATGTTAGCTTTGATTTAAAGCTCTCCTAAGCAGACACTCGAAAGAAATCTTATCCGCCTCTGAATGATGTTGTTTTTTTTTTCATATCATGTCCACAGTCATATGGCTGTTTGTCACTGTTATGCGGATCATTCTTATATATCCATTTCAGAGTTACCGTTTTTTCACATACTAGTCCGATTACACTTGAAAATAAAAACTAAATTACAACAAGGCAAGAACATCAGCGTAACCATACACTAAAAAACAGTTTTTTGCTATTACCAGTGTTAATTTGTAGCTGGGAGGAGCTTCCGTAAGCGCCTATCTAACCTTTACACCGCTTTTAAAGTGGCTGAATTCCACTTGCATAACTATGCTGCATATGAGATTCATTCTTGTAAGCGGCCAGAACCAGTTAAGGACACCTTTTTCTCGTCCCGAGGGCGCCCTCGTACGAGAGCTTCCACTGTATTACAATTTTAGGATTTCTCTTCCATTTTAACAAATTTTCGCTTAAAGAGGCACAGTCGAACCTACGTGCGACCACCCAACTTAAGTGACCACTTCCCAATAAGCGATCACTTATTCAACACACCAAATATATTATCAAGTCAAAGCGCTTGTAGTTGGAACCTCCTGTAAACGAACACATCCACATCCAGTAAGCGACCGCGACCACTTTTTACGATGACAGTCTGATTGAGAATTTTCCATGATGCAATGGTCTGATCTCTGCGTTCCCTGTATGTCCTAAGCTACTCGGAGTATGAGAGGAACTTTAGAAACAAATTAGATTTATCTATAGTATATTGTAACTTAAAAATTGCATGCAGTACATTCACTCCAAAAAGTAGATGTGTCCGCACTTTCCTCGTTGAAGACCTCCTGCAGTTCGACTCTCGTAAAACCAAATTTTCCTTGGGCAACCCCATCGGCATTATTTACTGGGTGTCTTCCGACCACGCACGGACCGGGACATCAAATGTCTGTAACTTAATTGTCCTGTCTGTCCATAATTCAACATCTGCCTGCCTCAGCACGGCAGACGGCTGGGCACTAAACTGGTTTTGGCCCTTCCGAGATCGATCTCTAGGACGAGAAAATTGACCTTACCTGGGTAGGGTGAGAAATTTGAAATCGAAGTATTACAGTTGAAGTATCTCTCGGAGGGAATGTGGGAAGGGTGTTAAACATATGGAAGCGGTTGTTTGAGAAAAAATATCTAACTCAATGTGGAAGTGTGGTGTATTTTGAATTCTACTTGGGAACATTAGTGCCACAGTTAGGCTTTATAAGACCCCCAAAAGACCGTGCGAGATAAGAAAAATTCACTGTTTATGACAGTCAAATCTGGTGCCAGCAGGGTAGGGCATTTGTACGCAATTTGGACACTCCCCCAGGGAGAAGGGACTCCAGTATGAAAAAAAATAATGGAATTCTTGTCGCAAGCCAATCTTGACGTGTCTCGCGCTTCATTTGTCTCTTTGAACTGGTCTGCACCAACATCCGGCTTTACTTCGCTGCTATTTCACGTGCAACTAAAATAGAAAAAATAGTTTTTTCCAAAACACGAAGACAAAACGACCTCTATCTCCGAGTTTGAGAAGACATGGGATCATTTATAATCATGGTCTGAATAAAGTTGCCAATAGATTTGGAATTCTAAATTATTTATCAGCATACAACAACAATAAAATAATCTCAGAGAATGTCGGAAAGTCATTTTGTTCACTGAACTCTGGCTCCTGGCTCCTGGCTCCTGGCTCCTGGTTCCTGACTCCCGATACGATGTTTCCGTATGGTGGCAACCGCTGCTTAAAAATGCGGGCTCTATTTAATGTCAAAGATGTCGGACGTTTGCAACATGTGAATTGAGCTACAACAGTGGCAGAAATAATTCTTTCAATGGGTTAAGAATCGGCTTTTTACCTTTCGTATTGTTTTGTCCTAAAACAACTTGATTTGGATTTTGGTGCGTAAACTAATGGCTAAGGAATTTTAGTCGTACAGCGAGTCACGACGCTGAACTACCCTGAACTGGACATCGAAGGTGGCATGAAGAACAAATCAAGGCGGGCACAAACTAGCAGTTGAGACATCTAAGAGATACGTATATGGATTTTATTGATCGTTTATTATTGTTTTTAGGGCGAAATTGTTAAAGTAAGTAGAACTGTGAATTAAATCTTTGTATGTTGTTTTTACTTGAAAGATCGCGTATATAGCTATCAAAAATCATCGTTAGCGCTTCTTGCACAACAATTTTTATGATTTACCCTTATTAACGTTAAATCATTATCTGATGAGTTTTTTTGTTCGATTTCTCCTCATTCAAAGGCAAACACACGAATATTGTGAGGGCCTGAATTTTGATGAAATACGGTATGCAAAAGTCGTTCAGTCACATAAACAGTTTATGTCAACACATGGAAGAAAGAGAATTGCCCAAACTTTTTATGATCTTTTTCTCAACTTAAGTGATGGCTTTAACTACTCATGCAAAAGTTATAAAGATAAGCGGTTGCTCATCAGAGATATTTCGGAATAAAATACCCTAATTTTACGTCTTACTCAAAACTTGGAAATGATGACCCAACTTAAGGGGGCTGAGAGGGGGGAAATCGAATCGGTGACTTTAAACAGTTTATTGTGCTTAAAGTCTTATGATGTCTGATTATCTCTCAGTGCATTTAAGTTCCAGGTGGCTTTTCTGTTTGTTGCACTGGCATCGTAAAGTTAGCTAATTAATTATGCATAAACGGGCAAAATGGCGATTTTTACAGGGGGAGCCCGGATCTCCCAGGGAATTTAATATTTTGACCTGACATTCTGTCACATAAGCTAACTCCTGATACCTAACATTTGTGCCAAGTTTGAGCGAAATCGGTGATTTGAGCATTATCACCCCCTGCCTGGTTCTGCCTGGTTTTCTCATGGACACACTCTTAAAAGATGTGTTTATGCGCAGGTATGCTAGCTCTCGAGTGAAAAGGAAGAGCTTTTATAGAAATAGTGAACTCCAGATGTTTTTGTTGATTTCCAGCAGCCTTATTGGTGGACCAAAACTGTCCACCAATATGGTGGCGTCTCCATAATTATGTGAAACATTTCAGCAAATACATGTACATTGTAACTCAGAAACTGTGGGCCACAAAGACCTGAAATTTGGACAAATTGTTTATATATTGGTCTCCTATAACATTTCATTTTCTTAGCTTCTTCCGCTGGATGGTTTCCAATTTATTTTTTGTGCCGTGTTTATTGTGTAACAGTGAAAATGAAGAATTGAAGTCAAACAACTAGTAACTGTTCTTTTTCTTCTTGGACTTAAAACTGATTTCTGTGAAATAGGCGAATCTTTGCTGACGTCATTGTTTACATTTTTCCTCATTAGCATACGACTTAACTCACAGAAGCCGTGGCCGTATATATGAAATAAATGCGAAAGTCGAAAGAGCTGATAAAGTTGGGCAATTTGTGCAATTTTCAGCTCTTTGCGAGCAATATTGAACGAAATATCAGCCATCAAAAACTGCGAAATTGCTGTGTGGCAAAAAAGTTAATTAGCCATACATTCTCTTTAAAATTTCGAGTTTTTAGAAGATAATTGCTCCGAAACCATTCAGTGTATTGGGCTCAAATTTTCAGGCATAACTGAAACTGTTATGCCCTTTCAATATTCAGAGTTTTGATTTTATTAGCGTCATCAGACAGTGATAAGCATATGTTAATGAGGCAAAAAGTGTAAACAAAGATTCGCCTATAGGAGCTCATTCAGATAATTATTGAAGATTACAAATGTATTTGACATTAGAACCTCTTTGTTTAGAAAGAACTTCATCTCAAAGCTCATTCCCTATCAATAATTTGTACTACCAGCAGTGATGTTGTTCCATCGTGAAAAACTCAAAAGTTATATTTTACTTTCATTGCAGACAGGTGAAAAATAAATGAATTTCTCCCAAGTATAATCAATGAAGAAGCCAGGAAATAAATATTATATCAAGGTACAGAGGACTGCAGACAAAAAGGCAATCCCACAAAGGACAAAATGGCCCTTAAAAATCTGGTTAGTAAAGTTCTTATTATAGCTTGCCATCTGTGGCAGTGGTTTCAAATAGGAGACCCTACCTACAATAGTTGACAATTCACAACAGCATGTAGAGCACCGTCTGCAAGATATGAATGTTGCTTTGTATAAGGTGAGCCTCTGTATGGGTATTTCTGATGATATCAAAGTCATAGCAGTCACTGTCAATGAGACGACAATCTTAGAGATTAAAGTGATGATCTCATTGCCATTCCAATCAAATCTGACAAAGTTTGTCGGGCAATTCAGAGCTTTTGTTTTGCTCATTAAACCTCTTTTTCAATTTTCTCTTTTCCATCATTGTTGTGGTTGCGCTGAGTTTCCTAGTAGCATTACTACATAAAACAGTTCTTCGTATGGGATCATTTTGCTGGAATAAGCGATGATTTCATGGAAAACGCACGTGAAGATCTAGTGAGGATTGTACAGGAGGATCAAGGAGGCTATAAAGATTGAGACAAGATGCTCCTCTCTTAACCAGGATGAGGCAGGGCTGGAGCAGCCAAACATCCATGTTCCACTTCTTCTGTCACCTAACCATCCTAAGATCATGTGACTGCTGTGCAACCATACACTTTCGATTGATGAAAGCTGAGCGATTCAGTTGAGATGCAATGCATTTTGGAACAAATTTGTTACGTTTCCAGTCTATAATTTCTTTAAACTTAGCAACCAATGAGACGTACATGGTCTTTTCCTTTTTTAGCAAAAAGATAATCAAGCACCCAGAAAAGAGAAAAAGGATTTGGACGTCAAAGCCAGTCTGACAGGATGTTTTCTTCTGTAATTGGTGGTAAGTGAGAAAAGTTATCTACATTTAGATATCGGTATAGTTAATGCAAAATAATGTCAGGGCTGCTAAGAGGAGGGGGCTGGGGATTTCTGCCGGCTACTATCAATGTGGCCCCCGGCTTCTTTCATAGGAAACTAGAAGAAAAAAAGGAGCAGAAAAGAACTTTCTAGCCGTTTTATTCTCTGTCTACTTGTTGTATTTACCTGACAACTTGAAATTTTAGTGACATCCCTGAATGTCTCATATCTGTAATGATTAAGAAATGACATTACTTTAATTTGCTGGTTGTCAAAACGCCTCTTGCTGCATAGTATAAACCATTCTTACAAACTAAACCTAAGGGGCCTTAGTAACTGCTTGAAAGTACTTATTGCATTGTAAGGTGCTTCTTGACTGCCTTGTAGCAGTCTCTTGGGATATTCAGTAGTTTTCTCTCTAGACTTGCCCACAAGTCGAGCGCAAAGTGCAAGCTAGTAATTTTTTTTATGTTTTCTGTGGCAAAGAAAGCAAGAGACTGGGAGCTTGACTTGTTTCCCTTGAGGAAAATCGCATCAAGTGATGTCATTTTAGCGTGAGCTATTTGAGTCCAGACTAGGCAGAGCTGTCAAAGTATGCCAAAATAAAAACAGACTGTTCGGTAATGTTTTTTTGGCCTGAAAAATCTGGCTCTTGCTAGTCTCACGAGTGGTAAGGAAAAAAGAATTACAGTAAAACTTCAGTGCACATTGCTCTTCCTGACAATGTTTGCCAACAATGCGGTGAATCAATAGAGAATCCTGCACCATTAAAAAAAGGAGGTGACTGTTTACAGGTGCAGAGAAAACGAAAACTTGTTAATAATCTGGAATTTTTTGTCAGTTCTGCATTTATTCATTCGGATTTGCAATCACAAATAATTTGCCGGAACTGCGCTGATCGGGTCGAAAAACTAACAAAAAAAGTTGTGTAGGTTAGAAAAATTTTTTCACGGCGTACATGCTCAATGCACTTTTCACCGTCAGCTGCCAGAAAAGATCAAATCTAGGGATCAGAATCTAAGGCTAAGAGATGTGCTATTCATGGTACAACAACCAAACAAATGAGCTAAATTTCGTCTCTTTTGCCATATCGTTATAAATCAAAAACTTAGGGAGCAATTTGAAATGTCAAGCTCAATGCCTGAGTTGCTCGCTCTCTACTGGTGCCGACGAAAACACATCCTTTGCACCACAGAGATGTTCACCAACATTTTTGTAGTTTTACGATAGCTTTCCATAACCAGTTTGGTAGAACACATTGCACTCGGCTTTGCATTTGAATACGGGTGATAGAGGAGATATTGATCACGAAATAACCAAATTAATACAACCCGCAGTTAGAAAATAAAGAACTGCTGCAATCATCGTCTTACTTGAATTTAGATCGTAACAGCTGAAGTTACGTTTTATGAGGTGTGTTCGGGGCTTATTGATGGCGCACCAGGAAAAACCATTTGTGATTGGCTAAAACCTACAGGAGGAAAATTCCTCCTGTAAATTGGCGTGCTGCAGAGGATTAAAGTCCTTTGTGCTGGGGTCTACTACCGGAACCAGAAACGAGAAGCGAAGGACTTTGAGAAAGTCTATATTTTCTCCCAAGTGAGTAGATAGCATACAGAAACAGATCCACTGGCATTGATTGTTGCCAATGTTTTGGAGTAGGAATCTTCACTTCCATGTCCTTATTCACTAAGTTGGTTATTTGATAAAAACAAACGAAGTTTGACTTCTTCTTAGAAATTGTGACCTCTTGTGCAAAAATGCACACCAAAGGCCTTCCTTTTAAATGGGTGAAATGGACAGCTACCGTACAGGTTAGCAAATTAATATTAATGGCTTGTAACTGGTTTTAACAGGTCCATTGTTATTAGTATTCTGAACAGCTAACACAAAATAATTGTTACCAAAACAGCAGAATGGCTTAAAGGAACAGTATACTATCACTGCGCATGTAGCAAACTTTGACTTTCTGACAGGATGTTGCGAATTCCAATGATGTGAGAAGAGTAAGAGAACCTACACTAAAACTTCTCAGAATTACAGATCAAGGATAAATTTTTCCTGTCAAGTTTCGATTTAGCAAAATTGGGATTTTTTGGCGTTACCTTCTTTGCCTTTGGCTGGAGGATCAAAAGAAGGGAAGCGCTTTAATGCCAGTCGAAGGCTTATTTCTTCCGCCAGCTTCCTTACAAGGTCAGATAATAGTGAAAGGAATACGCCGAAATGGAACAGCAACAATGAAGACTATGTAAGAAAGAAACCATTGAGACATGGATGTGACCGAGGAGATCTTGTGGAATTAAGCTTTGCGAAGCACAATGTGTTGCAACGATGTGTTAGTAAACTTTTAAATAAACCGTCCTACGGCTGACAAAATCAAACAAATAGGCACAACATGTTTTGAGAAAAGAGTGCAAAGAAATCATAATATAATGCTTGACTAACATTTGTGATGCCTCATAGTGTTGAGATTGCATTTTTGTTTAATATAATTATCTTTCAAACTTTTGCAGCTAGAACATGAGCAAATATTACTGGACTTGGATTTGCCACAAATTAACCTCTGACTCAAGTTTCACAGCAGAAAAGCTGCATTAAAAGCGAGTGGAACAAGCTTTTTGGGTTGCGAGGTGGCTGAGCTAGCAACAAAATTGCGATAAGTCTTTGTGCCGTGAGCAAAATTTTAAATAAGAGGAAAGACATCTTCGAAAATCTAACATAATAAGTCTAGAGAACGTAAACAACAAATCTCCATTGGCGGTGCGGTCTGGAAGGAAATTTTGTAGTGCAATAATTATGATAGTTTTATTGTCTTTTTAAGAAAGAAAAAGATGACGCTCACATGTGCTCATAATGAGGACACTGTCCCCTAAGAAATGTTTGAACGGGTCGACATATACAGCTTAACATTTAGTTTTAGCTGGAATGACTTATGAAAAACAATCCTGCCAAATCAAAAGGGCAAATGAATCTGAACCCTTCTGCTGCAACAAAAATTTATTAGCTTCCTACGGCTGTTTGTTTTTGTATGTACAATCACAGACTTATTACAGCAATTATTTATTAAAGCGAAATCATCGAGTATTTAATATTCACCACTTTATTGCACAAACAAACAAATGACTGAAACCGTTTTGTAGCAGCTTTGTATTGTGTTAAAATGTTTGCCCCTTGCTGTTTTGAAAGGCATGAACCTTGCCAAATTTGCACAAAGCAGACCAGAGTGATGTATCCAATCAGTGACAAACACTTGAAGAAGTAGGGTGCGTTATCATGGATATCCATCTGTTGTCATGGATCTGTCTCTGTTTACTCTTCATTTCTTATAAAACCATCATGCTAGAATACATGTACGATTAACTTAAAGTGCGTGAAGATGAGGCAAATCTTAGCTACACTGTAAAGTGCAACAGTTTATACAAGATGTATGTCGGTTGCCAGTATTAGTGTTATGAGCAATCCTCTAAGGAAGCTTAGACTTTCTAAAAGTCCTTTATTGTTTTTTCCTGGTTTGTTATGCCATTTTAAAGGAATTTTCATACCTGTTTGGCACGGAATTCACCGGTCAAAAATTCTACCAGTGACATCATGACAATTGACCAATAGGACAGTCGAGTTATATTTCATGCCGCTCCCGACACAGCATATGTCGCTTGCTTGGTTGCAACGCAAGGTTATGCATTGAAACTCGCTTTGCTCACTTTTAAGAACTAAGGAGAGGTCGACTTTTAGCAAGTCTAAAGGAAGCTGTGCAACCCAATTTAAACATCGTGTGATGAATTAACTAACTTAAAAGTACATGTAAAAGACAAGAAACTAACAGCAGTGGATCTAACAATGAAGGTACATATTAAGAAGACATTGACTAACATTGGATGAGCTGATGGAGAGGGAAAGTTAATTAAGTTTTTTTCCCTAAAAAAACACACACTCAACAATAACAACAACAGCAGTATTTAACAGCCCTGTCTCTACAGCGATGAAATGTGAGGACTGCATTATTTGGTGCAATCTATCATGTTTAATGTAAGAGCTGTGACCATGATTACATGATAGAAACTGCTAGAGCTCTGGATACTAGATTGAAGGAGCATCAAACTACAATGTAGAACACCATGTGCAGGATATGAATGTTGCTTTGTGTAAGGTGAGCCTCTGTATTGGTATTTCCGACAACATCAAAGTCATGGCAATCGCTGTTGATGAAACAATCAAGTTTGAAAAAGTTAGTCGGGCAAATCAGAGTGTTTGTTTTGCTTATTACACGTGATGCTTTTTGGATTTTCTCTTCTCTGAATCATGGTTGTGGTTGTGCTAAGTTCACTAGTAGCATTACTTACTAGAAATACATTAAGAAAAATCTCCCAAAGCTTAATGATACTATGGTTCGATAAACTAGAAAAAATGAATTTTTTAATTAATTGTGGTTTCCATAGAAACCAACATAATTCTGGCTTGGCACTTTATGTAAAAATGCTGTATTGGTGGCTACTATCGGTGGGCCAAATTTCATGCTTGCATCAAAAAGTGCACAACTCACCTGAAATTTTTCAGCAAAACTTTAAAGGGCAGTACAGAAGGGCTTACCTGGATTATTCTCGTCATGGAAAAGAGTAATGTACGTGAAAGGTACTGAGTGTAGTGAACTTTGTGTATGTATGTTAAACCCAGTGTTCTTAAATCACATGCAGGGAGAATAAGGGACTAGTCTAAACTCAGTGCATGCCAATGAAAAGGCAGATGTACGTGATGTTCTTGATTGTGATTACAAGGTGATTGCCCAAATTGTAAACATGCTCTTAGACCCAATAAGTTCCAAACAGAGGCAACTCAGCAAGTGAGCCCTTGTAAGCCATCGCCAATTGACATTTTATCACTTAATTTAAGATGTCTCGAGTAGTTTCTAAATTACTAGACTTGCAATTTAACTGGAAAGTACAGAATCACACACAGGGGCCTCACGAAGAAACTATACACAATTTATCCCCCCTAAGAAAAATTACTTCTGTATTATAACATTGCTCAATGCATGAGGTCTGGTCACAGGAAATGCAGTGTTACTGGATGAGAAATGCCCCTCAAGTAAGACTGAAGTGTATACTTGCTTTTATTTATGTACAGTGGGAATTGTTTCCGGTCTGACCGTGATAGGTAGCGACGGGGAGAAAACCTAATGTAAGCCTTGCCGACCGAAATGTAATACGATGTTGCCCTTTCACTCAGGGTCACTCTGGCTTGTTTCGCTTTTTGGTAGTCTTTTTTTTACGGTTTGTAAAAACAGGTACACCCACTCCCTTACCATTTCCCAACATTCGGTCAGATCCAGCGCCGTAAAAACTTGACGATTCTTTGTTCACATTTTTTTGTCAAACAATTCAGGAATCGTTCGAGTACTTCCAGGTAGCAAAAGTCTCCAATTAGATCTTTCTTTTCTCGACGTTTTTAATCAAAGTTCTTTATAGCAGTACAGTGACTGTTCTTTGCTGTAGAATAGTAATTTTCTGGAGTAATCTTGGCTTGTCCTTAAGTAAGAACCAGTGAAACTCACAGGTAATGTAAAACAAAAAAGTCAACACAATAGAGCATAGCATTTACAAAAGGTGCAATACAGAGAAAAAGTTCAACAAAGTTAAAAGAAAATAAATGGTCGGTATGTGTGGAAACCAAAGGTGGCTTCACACAAATCTTGGCTGTTTCCTCAGGCTAGCATGATCAATTATTTTGAGGGTGCTTTTTGCTGTTCACACCCAAACTGTAATGGTATTCAAACTATAATTATTATTAAGTGTTAAATTAGTTCCTTTGCTTTACATGTATGACTGTGCGGTGAGATTAAATCAGTTGGGCTATATACATGCAGGATGTGATTATAAGCCTGTGTAACAAAATGAGCAATGTTTAATTTTTGGGCTCACAGATTTAACATTAAATAATTATTATTAGAAATTAATGGACAATTGTGTAATCATTGGACATAAAGCAGATAGTGTTTTCATTTTTTCCACATGCCCAAGGTCTAGGTGCAAGAAAATTTTAGTGACTTCAAGCCACACGTTAATGATAAGACCTTAGACAGACTGTTAGTTTGAGCATAAAATTGCAATTAGTTCACTCAACCTTATGTCTAATTTCAAATGTTTTGTTCAGTCAACACTGAAAAAGATCAAACAGTAAATTAAATAAATTTGTTAGCAAACCCAGGTAGAGGTTTATCAGCATTTTCCAATTGCTCCACATTGTAGCTAGTTTTGATCATTGTTGAAGTAAGTTGCTGCTGTGCCCCGTATTTTGAGTTTTATGTAAATCAGTGATCAGAGGCTGTCGAAACCGTTAAGCCACTGAGCCACTTTTTTAAACATTGTAGCCATGACTAAAGTCAAGTAATTGATAGGTTTGGGCTTACAAGCTGTCTTATGTCAACTTTTTTTAACCAGGCAGAAATGAGACTTCACCAAGCAAATATTTCTTTGGTCCAAGCACCATCTAAAAGTAATGTGAGCCCTGAGCCCTCTTTTTTTACCCTTAGCTGTTCGAAAGATATAGAGTGCTGACCAGATACACTAAATCACTACCCGATTGTGTAAATCACGAACATGACCATACATCTTAAAGAAAACTAATTCTGATCATTTCATTTTCATTACTCAGATGTTGAACTCATCTTGGTGGCTTTTTATTTGTTATGATTGACTGCATTATACCTATTGTATATGCTGAACAATTTCAAGAATAAATTATGGTGAATTTTTCAGTGGATTCGCTTTCGCTGTGCTAATAGGGCAACAGCGTCTAGATTTTGATTCAAACAATCAGAAATAGATTAAATTAGTTTAGACATCCTGAAACCTTTCGTTGGACAACTAGTTAGAGTGTGAGTTGGTCTGTCCTTTTTTTCTTCCGTTCTTGTTGTTGTTATTGTTGTTCTTTGTTTCACACATTTTTCAAAGATCATCATGCAGTGATTCTCGAGGGAAGAGAGTGTGGCTGGCAGCTTTTCCAAACACCTAGTAGCCTGCCAAGAATTCCAAATTTCTACAGCCTAAATAAATTCCCACACCTACTTTACTCCTGAAGAAGTAGTTTTCCACCTCACTATAACTTGTAAAACCATTTTTATACTTATCTTTGTAGACCTTTTAAAGTTTTCTCTCAGTATCAATATAAAGGCTTTTGAAAAAGGTAAAAAAAATTATTGCATGAAGTTGACCCGTACTGCTTTGAGCCTTTATCGCCCACCATGATAATTAAATTTCTCACACACCACTGGTAGCCATGCCAAGCCAACCGCCGCAGCCTGACCTTTATTTTAAACTCAAAAAATGCATACATATCATAACCTTAGAAAGGTAGGACACTAACAAAAACTACAAAGACTTGTAGCACGATACACATGTACATCAGTGTAACATAGGGCACTTTTATGAAAATGAGTAAAATATTCCCAAACCATCATTACTTGCCAGATATTAAGTAATTAACATCAAAGAAACATATTTGGAAAATTTTCATGGTATAATTCTTGTCTACAGCTTATTTTAGAAATTACCCAGAATCCTTTTTGGGCGTGGCATCTGACTTTTTGGCTTGCTTAGCATGACTATTATCGCTAAAATACAACAAATTTATTAAGCTCGAAGTGCTTTTTGTCTGCCTCTTTCTTTTTCTTGATCTTTTCTTCCCTCCACATTTATTTGAAAGGCTTTTCTTCTCGGTATTCATCTCGGTATTTGTGTAACGCAATCGTGACATCCACTCTATTTTTACCTCACGTTTTCCCGCTTTTTGCCCCTGATTTGTTACAAAAACACCCCCCAGATACTAAGGAGAGGTTACACAGGACTCCTTCGATGTTTCTTGTGGATTTCGGCTGGAAAATGGCTTGAATTCAAGTTTCATTTGGGAAGTTTTCTGCTGCGAGTGTGGTGGTAATTCGATTGTTACGCTTAGACAAACATGGCATTCAACTGGAAATATGTTTCCGATTCACCATTTGTAGAATTTCTTCGTTTTAAGCCTACTGAAGACTAAAAACCTTACCAGGATTTGAAGAACAGTAACTGAACTGTGTTGCAGCTGTGTATCAGCGACCGTTGTTAACTAGAGGCTGAGATACAGGTTTTCTTTTGGGTAAGTAATATTTAATTTCACACATCAAAAGTACACAACAGTTTAGTTTCCGAACACGAAAATTCTTTATTTCTTCATCGCCGTGAGTAATCTTTAAAAGCCTTTCTTACTCGATGGTAAACAATGTTATGAACTTTACTCAGACGAATTATCTTCTTTTGTAGGTGCATTTGGAAGTCGCTAGCCTTATATTTGTAAGGCAAGGAGCGCTGTTGGACCTTGAGCGTTACACAGGCATTTAATGGCAACCGTCCCTAGAATTATAATTCTCGTTATTTGAAAAATAAATGAAGAGAACTGTAATTTTGCGTATGGTGTCGTTTTTTCCTATTTAATATTTCTGCTCTGTTGAATTTTCTTAATGAGATAGTATTAAGGGTGAAATTTTACTTTTTTAACTATTTCATGCAAATTAGCTGTTACGCGTTACACGCTGATTTTGTAACTATTTTCTTTCATCTTCAAGATTTTTTGATTCCTAGGTTCTTCCAAATGATATTTTTTTAACATATCACTTAACTACAATCCTTGTTGAAGTAAGGTAGAACGTTTAAACGAAATCCGTCATTAGCTTTCAAAGATATAGGAAAATATATTAGAGCAACCACTAATGTACATGTGTATCGTGCTACAAGTCAAAGTTGCACAGTACATTTAACAGCATACAAAACTGAAATCTTAGGGTGGGTGGGTGGGAAGGTCAGTAATGGCGGACGCAACAAAAGCAACTGCCTGCCCTTCAGTCACATGACCTATACCCAGGCTCCCAGCGGTGTGTGAGAAAAACATTTTCCACTTAATTCATTACACTCAGCCAGTGGAAAATTACCCTTAAACTAACTGCTACGCTGAATTTCATGTTACAAAGATTATCATCAACAACAAATTAGTTGGTTCATACTTAAGATGTGTGTATAACAAGAAAGAGAAAATTTCACTGCTCTATCAATTTCAGTTGTTTAACACATCGAAAAGCGGCCACCTTTTTGAGGATTTATTTCAAGCATACACTACATTCCTGACAGGCGATCACTTGTACAAATCAGGTTTGACCGGATCTTGCCTTCAGCCTCGTCAACGAGAGATCTGTATACGAGATTATGAGAACCAACCTCTACTAATATAGAAATACCCAGGGGAAATTAGAGTTGTTTGAAAATATTTGTTGGTACCTCTAAAGTTTAATGTAAACCACTCACTGCCAACCTCCACACTCTTTTTTAATGCTTCCTGTTAAAAAAGACACCATGTGCAAGATCACCCTCCCCCGGAGAGCAACAGTGTACAAAGAAACTCCAATATATTAAATCACACAAAGTGGTGACGGTCATCTATATACTGGAATAACGAAAGGCTCAAAACGTTTTGTACTCATTGCAGACCTACTTTTTTTGGATTGTCTTGTTACTTTGGCGGAGCGCGAAGTAAAGTTGCAATTTTTTAACAAGATTGGGCAAGCAAAGTCTGTAGGTTTTGGGCTCTATTCGGCTATTTGACGAAGTGAGAGCCGAATTAGTTCGAGATGTCTCGAGATTACTTTGATTTCTTTGATTTATTCTTTAACTTTTTCGAGGAAGAAAGAATTACTATTTTGACCTTCCCGGGGTTTGAACCGACTCACCTGTGTGACCCGTCAGATAAGAGGAGACTCTAAGTTGAGGGATTAGCCGATTGTGCTACTGCGACCCAAGGTGGTTTGGGATATGAAAAATAGTTATGAAATGGTGCACTAGTTTCGGGACAAGATTGGGCGTGCAAGTTCGTGACTTTTCGGCTTGTTTCAACTATTTCACGAAATGAGATCGGACTACTTCGTGATATCTTGAGATCACTTCGAGTTTAGTCTTTATTTACTCGAGGAATAAATAGAGGATATTTCGTGGCCGCGCAGAGACACGAAATTTCTCTTCGAGTGTTGAAAAACATTTCACGAGTGAGCCCTCCTTTCGAACTGTTTTATGATGAATTTAAAGTTTCAAAACGCTGCACAAAGACATTTTGTCTTTGTTGAGTGTTACGTAGTAAAATTGCTTTCATGTGTTGCGTGACTTTCTTTGGATTACCCATAAATAATTAATTTGGGCATGTTTACATTTCAGCATGAGTCAGCAGATTTGCATTAGTTACTGAAATCATAAAATATGTCGAAAAGCTACTACTATTCGCCTGTTTAGTATTTTCTAGAACCTTATGTCAAACGGTATACAAGTTCCAAGCGAGTTCTTTTGATGAACTAAGTTTTTTTCCCACGAGCTGGACTGCTGTGTTTAGTCAAGTGTGACGAAGGTCGATTATTCAGGTTCTGTGTTTACAAGTTCGCGGAAGCCGTAAGATATCTGAAGTTCAAGTGAGAGGCTGTTTAGTTTTACTCAAAGTTCAAGTCAAGTTTGTGATGGCGGATGCTGTGTTTTAAAGCTCTGTAAAGGCTATGTTCCTTTGGTGTTAAACTTCCTTGTGTTAATCCGACATCCCTGCGTGCTGATAGTCAGTGAATAATTATCCTCAAAACATTCGAACTCGTGACTTTGAGTTTTAGCCAATTCCATTCTCAACGTAATTGACTCCTTACCCATGCCTTACATATCTTTAATCAGTACATTAGACTGCTATGCTGTTTTTGAAGCCTGATGTGACTAAGAAAAATAGAGAATTGTTTTTTAGAAGGATTTGTATGGAGTCATCAGAGCATAACTGGGCTAATATCGCAGAGACAATTTGTCCTGAAATGCTAGTTTTTGGCAAGTAGGCCTCTTGGATGTTGCTCTTTATATCCGGACAAATCCCATAATTTCACACCTTACTCTTACCATATTTGATTTCTTACTATTCCTCCGCATTTACAATTAATTAGTTCCACAACCACGACGCCGAAGTGTACACTAGCTCCTTAGCATCTTGTTATGGTTATTTCCTTAACTTTTAAAAGATCTTCTCAATCTCATTAATAATTCATAAAAAAATGCAAAGGAAATTAATGTTTAATGAGTGTTTAGAAATCAGATGAAAAACTGCCTAATTTTTTGCATCCTAATTTCTCCTTCCAATGAGAAGTAATATGAAGCATTCGACACAGTGTTTCATCGACAGATGAAACGCCTGGAAGTTTGTCAAAAATACTTCGCTATGCGTCGCATTTTCAACTCTTTTCTCAGTGTTTCGTCTAGTGAGGAAACACTGCGTCTTATGCTTGATTATATATTACTTCAAAGCTAGAAGGTTACCTCTTAAGACACCCTGACTTGTTTTAAAATTTGGAATTTATTTTGCATTGAAATCATTCCTTGGTGTGTTTTTAGGCTTTCCAAACAGTTGATTGTTGATAGCAAAGGGTGTGAAAAGATGTTTGACTTCCACTTGTCTAATGGACAAGAGTGATTTTAGTTTACATGTATTTATCAAGCATAAGATCTACTCGTCCTTGGAGGCAAGAGTTTATTCTCAAACTTAATGCAGTGGTTGCATATACATGCATGGTATGCCATACATGTATATCATTCAATGCAAATTTTTGTTCCTTTTCAATGGTCTGCTCATGCACAATGTCGTCCAAGTGTGTTTGGCTGCAAATAATATTCTGCTCATGCATAAATGAAACCAGGCTTTTCTCCTTCTTGCGATCACTGTTGCATGAAAGTGCAGATTGCTTCGCTTCCCAAAGATATTCATTAAAAACAATCTTGGTAATCAAATGATAAAACAATTTTTGAACTCAGTTATTGCAAAATATTATGATTTGTCAGCATCAAAGCTGAAGGCTGAGGCAAATAATTGGTCTGCTCAACCTCATCCAATACTTGTTAATAATCAAAAGGTCCGGAAGGAAATCTTGTCGAGTCAATATGACAGTTCTATTGTCTTTTGAAGAAAAAACAGGTAACACTGGCGTGTGTGCATAATTGGGACACTGTCCCTTTAATATGTACACAAACCTGAGTAACAGAAGACTGATTTTAGACCTGAAACACTGAAAAAAGCACAGTCATTGTTCACTAATTATTTCCTGAAGCATCCAAAGGGCAAATTACAGTATTGGTTACAAACTTGTCCCCATGCTCAAAATCACTTATCTGGGGCAAGTGGATACTGTTGTTGTCGCACTGACTTGACAAAGAATCCTAGGGCCGTAGCCAGAAAAAAATAAGGACTGAGGCAATATCCATGGTTGATTCCCCTGCCTAGCTATTTAAGGTCTTTATGATGAGTACATGTACGTTTAAACAAAACGTTGGGATCAAATCTGGGAAAAAAAAAATGACCGACGCAAGTGCCTCGGTTTGCCTCATACTGGCTACGGCCCTGAATCCTAGCATTAACTCAGTGCACAGATGTTTTATTATTTTTTTATTTGACAATTTGACAGAGCTCAAGAACCCACCCCCTTGCACTTGTGCTGAATAAATGCCCTGCATTTTTTATTTTCATATGCACACTCGATGATCTTTAAAGAGAAAAAAGAGAGTCCGTGAATAGGCTATCTTAACTCCAGAGGTGTAAACCTCAAGTGTGGGACAGCTATTTGGGTGCTGTATCAGTGAATGAAGAAGGCTTTGTGGCAAGTCTTCATTAATAAATTGTTATTTCTTTTTCAGAGGAATGTTTTGACTCTATGTTGTGGAAAGGAGAGAGAGATGGTGATTTGTGAAGAATTGCTACAACTATGGACCCTCAGAAGGGATTTGTTTAAAAAGAAGTAAGTACATTAGTTTCACTTATAAGTATATTACCTTTCATAAAAATTTGACATTCCTTTCAATGGCCAAGAAGTCACAGTTGTGTTGAACATGTTATACATGTATGAGAAGAGGGAACCCTTTAAGCCCAAATATCTGATACAGGTCAAACTTGAGTTTAGGTTAAACATTTTTAACCCATGTTGATTCTTAATTTCCTTTCATGAATCAGGGCTATCAACATACAAATTCTCCAGACTGAACTCCATAATTTCCTTAAAAATTGAGTTTAGAGAGTTTGTTTAAAAGTCAAAGTATTTTCCTATTAGGTGATCACTTTTAACCTTTCTGCTAGCTTTTCTGAAAGTCCTTCGCTTCTCATTTCTGGTTCCAGACTTTTTTTGACATACTTTGACAGCTTGCGACAACACACACACACGATGACACACACAACAGGGATGCCAAAATGACGTCACTTGGTGTGATTTTTTGCATGGGAAACAAGTCGAGCTCCCGCTCTCTCGCTCGCTTTTTGCCCCAGAAAACATAAAAAATCTTCCACTTGCACTTAGCGCTCTTGAAAAATTTTGAGCGCGACTTGTAGGCAAGTCTACCTTTCTACTAGATTATCTTTTGACATTTTTCGGGAGAAAAGTGATTTAGGTCTCTCTTTAAGGTTTAGTTAACACCTCTGAGACTCATGTCGTGGCATGTTTTGTGCATTTATACTTGGAGTGTTTGCTTAAAGTTGAATTAATGATTTAAAAGCATAAAGTGCTCAAATGCTTATAGCCTGTAAGTAAATTGTAGGGCTGTGCGAAAGTCTTACCTAAAATAGGGCTACAGTGGTCCTTGATTTATCGGTGCAAGAGCTACACAGTACTGTCTTAAATATAAAAATGGGGTTAGGATGAAACAAGGTTAAGTGAAGATTTTGCTGAAAATAAAAACAGGATACTAGCATCGTCAAACTTAACATCTCTTAACTTCACCAGGACATTATTCCACGAACTATGTCCATTGAATGTACCCAAAAGTCTTGACACAGTTGCTCATTACACATTACGTAACCAATAACTGTTCTCTGCATAACTCGATTGATGTCAAAGTCAGAGTCTAAAATGTTGTCTACAATAATTTGTCCTATTCAGTGTACTGTAGCACTGGGAACATCGTCATTACATCAACTGAAAGTTTTTTACCTTTGAAAAAGAAACGTTTATTAGAGCACATAATAGACAGTAAAGTGTCTGCATTAGCAAGGCTGACTTAAGGTGAGAATCTTTTCAATGGCCAAGAAAAAAGTGTCTGTTGTCCGCATCAATGGGTGTCCAGATTAAGTGGGTTGAATTTAGAGAAAATTTAAAGGCTTTTCCCAGGGACAAAGAAAACTGTTGGTAATAACGAGGTGTCCATATTAAGCAGCTGGCTGTAAAGCGGGGTTCTACTGTAGAATGTTTTGTAACAAAAAGAGTTTAAAACGGAAGACAAAGCACTTTAATTTGCACGAGAAGCTGACTACTGCTAGTATCTGAGACAACAAAAAAACACTTGACTGTGCACTGTTTTACAAACTAGAACGCAACTTCACAGGCCAAGGTTGTTAAATAGTGACTATGCATATTGATATGATATTAAAAAAACACTCTCTGGCTAAAAATGTTGACAACAGGCAAAATTATTAGAAAACTGAAAAATTCTAAAATTTTACCGTGTGTGATAAAAATACAATGCAGAGATCGCATTAACGCAGAAATCGTGCATTTTTATGCAAACAAAAGGCAAAAAATGCATCATCAAAATTCCCAGGACGCAAGATGTTGACTAGCCTCCCCGCAGACGTCCGTGGGGGAGAAATGAATGCGTGACAACCGAACCCCAACGGACGTCTGCGGGGAGGCTAGATGTTGACTTGAAGAACTCACTCCACTTACTTTAAATCTTGAATAGATTTTGTTGTTTGAGTGACATATAAAATTTTTTCGAACAAAGCGAATTCACATCGTTGCTGCCATATTGGGTTTAACTACACAAAGGGGACTGGAGACGATTTACACATCCGAAAAACTTAATGAGCTCCCACCATGTTTGTTTGTTGTTTGATCGATTGTGCTGGCTGAGTGCCCACTTACATGTACCTGTAATATGGCAATGAACCGTGAAAAGGGAGGAAGACATAATCAGTTTTTAGACAAATGGCTGAAAGAGTTTGGATGGTTTCAAACAAGAGGCTCAGGCAATGACTTATTGATGATTTGTAAGGATTGCACAAAAGCTGGAAAGAAGAACGCGTTCACGAGTGGATGAAAAATTTCCAAAGATTGGTGCTTGTTAGTCGAATGAGTCAGGTGGATCACAAAAGTGTGGCAAAAGTGTTGCTTCAGCAATAACATTTCAATTAAGGGTACATTGTATTGTCTAAAGTTGATGTTTTCAAACAACAAAAAAAAGACAATGAAGCCTAGTTATTTGCCAGTCACTCCTTCTCATAACAACAACAAAAAGAATTTCTTAGGGGAGGGTCACCAATAGCCTGCGAAAACATCCGTTTCTTCTCACTCTTCGCCGCTGGGGACGTTTCGTGTGGAGGAATGTCTGCGACTCAGCGACAGAAATTCCATACTGATGACGCAAATCAATGTTTACATAATAAATCCGGTAGTCATCAAATCAATGTTCACATAATAAATCCGGTAGTCATGGGGTTCCAAATATAAATTTGTCCAATTTCACGTGTTTTCTGGTCGATTTTGGTAAAGTGTTGTGTTCATCTGCCAACGAGCTCCAGCAAATCTCAAATGCTTCTTCTAGAGAAGACTATATTCCACAAACATTGATTATTTTGTTAGAGATTCTTGACCTTTGTGGCCTTTTGTCTTTTGTCTGTCATGTAAACAATAGCTAAAACAATGTAACTACTCCGTCGACCAATCAGCTCTTCTGACTGGATTGCGGACAGATATTACGTCATCAGTATGGAATTTGTGTCACTGAGTCGCAGACGTTCCTTCGCGTGAAACATCCCCAGCGGCGAAGAGAGAGGAGGAACGGATGTTTTGGCAGGCTAGGTCACCAAGCTTTTGGGACCCACCAAAAATGCTTGGGACCCCAATTTGACTGGACATGTGGGTCCGAGGACCCAGATTGAAAAATACTAGTGACATCCCTACAATGGAATAAAATTACCTTGGGGTCGTGACGTTAGAGTCTGGCTTAGTAACTCTTGTTGGTGCCGGGATTTGTTGTTGTTGTTAAGAAACTATCAAAGGCCTGGTTTCAAATTCAAGGGGGCAAACTAGTGCATTTCATACCAAGGGTGAAGATTTGAGTGTTAACTATCAGAACTCTGAGGAAACAAATGTTCAAGCAATGCCTGTGCTATTTGAAGGATCAACAACTTTCCAATATTATTGTGAACAATAAAGTATTTCAAACTGGCTTGCTGAGATACATGTTTAGTTAAGCCAAACAAATTGTTTTATGTGACCGGTGCTAGTCAAGAATCTTTTTTTATGTTTAGAAGTGACAAGTGACACCACAGACTCTTGAATAACCCCCCTGCCAAAATAATGGTTCTGCCTCACAGGAACCCCTCCTTTTTAGATGCAAGCAGCACAGGCCAACATTCTATATTAGGATGAAGGGACGTGATTTCCTCAAAGTGCGAGAACAATGAGGCAATATGCAAGTGTTATCAAACCTCCTGCAAATCCTTTTACCCCCAAGTTGATCGTCATTAATAACCTATAATTATGTTACTTAAAAACATGTCTCGAGGAACTTTTATCAGCAAGGACATTATGAACAGTCCGGAACCACAGGGGCATGACAGCCATCCATAAACACTATTGTTGGGAAAAAAATAGAAAAAAAAAATCCCATTGTTGCACTTTGAGTTGCTGTCAACTAGTGGTATAAAGAAAACATCATCAGAGCAGAAGAAGGACTTGTGGCAGGTAATTTAAAGATATCAAGAATGTGACTTCCCAAGGACATCAATAGACGTTGTTTTCACCTGAAAAGTATACAGATCCCTGTGTTACAGTTCAAAACACTCTCCATTCTTGTAGGAAAGTATGTGGATTACTTTTGTGAGGTGTTTGAAGTTAGTCTAACTCATCTGACAACCATTTGAAGGCATTGCGTGACCCACTGGGCTGGGTGGTTACTGGAGTGGTTGCATGTTTCAGGGACACCTTACATCCAAGGTGATTAGTGTCAATTTTACAAGCTGTGGCAAGAATCTACATAGTCTCCTTAATTCACCACAACTTGGGCCAGAGTTACACAATGTGATCCCCGTCCCCACAACTGGCTGCTTCAAACTGACATACATTCCTTTCACGGAATACAGCCAATCAAAGTGCAGCTTTCATTTTCTTGTGAATGTTTGCACCAGAAATGTGCACCAATCACCTTGCTTCTTTTATTTCACAAGATGGCACCTGTTCTCTTCCATAACAAAATAGCAGATCTTGAAGAAGCGATCAAAATTGGCAGTATCCAGATTTGGTTTATGGGTTTTTAAAACAAAGCAGGAAATCATTATAGTCACAGAAAAAAAATACTCATATGAGTTGTTCTGATCTAGATATTTCAGAGAAGACCAAAAAAATTCAAATTTTTACTGAAATTCAGGTAAGTTGCAATAAAAAGCTCAAGTCTTTAAGAGAGGTCAAAGAAAAGCAGTGGTAAACTGCATCTGAAATCAAATTCTGTCTGAAAAATCACACAAAATGTAAAACTCAGGAAAAACATGTTATGTAGTAAATAAAACAGACCAGCTTCATGTCATCTAAATGCATGTTAATAAATTTATTACACTCGGAGCAGACAAGAAAAGATTTGCTAAGTCAAATTTTGAAATTCTCTGTGCACTACATACTTAACGTACGTGCAGAAAAGAAAAGAAGGAAAACCTCTTTTGTTAAGGCAAACCATCAATGGTCATGGTACACACTATCACAAACTTATGAGTTGCATGTTACGTTGTCAACACTTTATTTCAAACAAACAAATGACTATCCTTGTCATATTTCCTCACATCAATATCCAGTGATGATCAAATGACTCCCAGCCTAAATCTGTTGACTTATTTTTACTTGTAGGAATAGATTAACGAATAAAACACTAATAATTGCTGCTTTCCATAATTTTCAGTTAATTTTCTCCTGTCTCTTTTAAATAACCTGTCATATGCCGGCAGGTATTTTCCTGTGAAAGACAATGCAGTCTTTCCTGTTATTGGTGCAGTGTATACAATAAAAACTAAATGAGGTGCTTATTAGTCCAATCATACAAAACCACAAAACATGTAGGAAAGGAATGTATGTTGGTTTGAACATGCATCATGGGAGGTTGGGAGAACTGCCTGACTCTGGCCCGAACGGCTGCGTAGTAGACTAGAAACTGCATGACCCAGTAGAGAATTTCGGGAAGTTAGAAGCCTTTGGTAGACAAGGTGCCACTGGTACCGTGCAGTGATAAAGGAATACATTAGTAAGGGATACACCCGTAAGTTCTCATTGGAAGAAGCTGGACACCTTGGTCAGCTAGATTGTGCTGAATTTTATCAAAAATGACACTTCCGCGAGACCAACATGGTAAACAGAGTGGCTGAAATCATGAAGCTGATATTCATCCAGGCAAGTGATTAAGTTGTACCTACGGCTGTACCAGAAGGAGTAAACTATGAACAGGAACACAACTAATTAGTTGGAAAACTCGAGTAATTAAGGACACAAAGACCAGTTACATGTATCTGCTGTTGTAGGATAATCATTTTGGCCACCTAAAAATATTGCTCTATTTATGCTCCATCTTTTGTTTAAAAAAATATAGAATATAGAATACAAAATGCATTTCAAAATTTAATGTTAGTAGTATATTTACAAGTGATAAAAAGGCTGTCTTTATTTGTTCCTGTACCGTGATAACACAAACTTTGTATCATGATTTCTCTTGTTAGTTTGAGTTATTGAGAGTCAGCTGTAGCAGGGTTCATACAAAAAATTGCAACCAGTTTTCAAGGACTTTTCAAGGACCATATTAGATTTTCAAGGACCACCTACTAGGAATATAATTTCACAGGTTGTACAAAAATGCACATTCCTAGTCTATTCAAATAAGACTTTAAGACTTGAACTGTTTCACCAACTTCTCTACATTTTTCAGTTCACTTGTCTTAAATTGATAGTTAATTATTGCATAAGACATAGAGCACTTTATGTATGTAAATAACCTTTAAATTCTCTGAGCTATGACTTATATTCTATCTTGGACAACCAAAAAGCATCAAAAACCTCTTTCCAGGACACTACATTCAAAGTTGAAGAAAATTCAAGGACATTTCAAGGACTTCCCCTAAAATTCAAGGACCTGACTGTGTGAACCCTGTGTAGATTTGAAGAGACACAAGCTTTGATTGCGTTCATCTATATCTCCTTTTGAAACTTGTTATTACGAAAAACAGTTCGAGTTAGTGGAGGTTTGAGTTGTCGGGGTCAGTTGAATGTCAAATTTGCCATCTTAATAATTTATAGTTACTGATTTTTCAGCACTTCAGTGTACAGTATAAAATTTAACTTATTTGTAACATGATTAAGCTTTTTTACGATTAAACGTGATCAGTTTGTTTGACCAAATCAAAATCAAATTGCTGTAGTGTTAGTTTTAGTGGTTTTATTGATTATACATCAAGAAGAGCAAATGAAATGGCATCCGAGTGGAGTTACAAGGGAATTTAGAATTTAGTTTGAGTTAGCAAGGAATTTGAGTTATCCGAGTTCGAGTTAACTTAGTAAAAATGACTGAAAAGTGGGTTTAAAATTCAAGGGAAATTAGACTTAGTCTGAGTTAGCGGGGAGTTCCAGTTATCCGAGTCTTTGTTTTTGGGGTTTTACTGCAGTTACAGCTTTAAGGCATGAAATATATTTTCTAGTAAAGTTCAGTGTGTAACACAGCTGATGATATTCATGTAGCAGCGTCTAACAATGTTTATCATGAGCTCACTGGCATCAGACTCTATAACAAAGTCAACAGTTACCGGCACTGTATAAACAACTTATTGACTGACTCAAGCAAAACTAACTACGAGAGAATGACTGGACAACCGATAATTTTACTAACAATACATGACTCTTTAACTGTTACAGTAGACAGATTGAAATGCACCAAATTATGACATTATGACGTCTTAACAGCCAATAACGTCACAACTTAACTGACAGACAGCCAATGGCATCATGACTTAATTGACCAATCAGATCAACAACCGGAGTTTAATACCGTCAACTGACGTGATACAGCTCACCTTGACTCTGAAGATGACTACTGCACAGGTGGTCGAAACATCACTCACTTGTCAACAGCAGTTCTATTGGAGACTATGTTCACCCAGACAATCATGCTCAACCTACTTATGAAAGAAAGACAGGCAATACTCAATTGTGAATTGTTGCTTTTTCTTCCAGCGTGAAATGAGTGACTTACTGATGGTGGCAAAGTTGCCAGAAAATGCTTTGATAATTTAGCCTGATGATCCCTTCGACACTTTATAATGCAAGTTACCCAAAGAGATCTCACCCTTTTATGTGGACACTCAGACAGCAAGAAGTACCAAACCCCAGGTGACCTGTAGATGGACACATTTTATTTCCAGCTTTAAAAAAGGTGAGCTGTTTTACTCATTTTACTCATTAAAATTTGTTGATCAGAACACTCATTCTGCAATGTGTATTGATTAAAACTCTTAAAAGGAACTATACCTTTTTACTTTTAAGTTAAGTACGATAAACCATTGATTTCCTTGAGCTCACAACCAGAACTGTTCTTATACTTTATCATAAGCATGTTTATCATATTTTATGTCTATTTCGGAAGTGCACTAACTTCTTGATAGAGGGAACAGACTAATGATATGTTGTTCTTTGCACAGTAATATAAAGAAGACTGTACCCAAAACACTTTTGCCTGAGGCCACAGAAATCATCAAAGAGGCAAGTGTAGTCATAGAGTCAAACCAAGCTGATTCACTGACAGAGTGTGAGACATTTCAACATGTATGCACTAAGCATATTTTTTCTCTTCTTTTCTCTTGTGCGTAGTTCTGTTAAAAGACGAGTTTGCAGTGTTGAAAAGCCAAAACCCAATCTGCTAATAAAATAGGAACAGGTAACATTACATTTTTTAATTTTTAGCACTGAACTTAACTCAAGACACAAGTTTTTCCCCAAATGTAAATACTTGAATATTGTATTCTTGACATCACTATTTGCTTTCATTACAGGTGACCAACAGACAGGTCATCACACATTAAGGTACAGCATCTATGTCATTGTTATCTATTATGTGGATCTAATGAGAAGTTGTACTTTAACAAATTTGAAAGCAACTTGCATTTTATTACCAAATCAGATATGATATTTTTACCTTGTCACCCACAAGAGGGCTGGGCCAGTTCTTCGGGAAGGGGAGTAGGTCACCTTATTTTACCTCGTCACCATTAAGCAGAGAGGACTGGGCCAGTTCTTGGGGGAGGGGAGTACGTCACCTCATTTTTAACCTTGTCGCTGGGCAGTTCTTGGGAGAGGGGTGTAGGTCACTTTATTTTTACCTTGTCACCATTAAGCAGAGAGGGCTGAACCAGTTCTTGAGAGAGGGAAGTGGGTCACCTTATTTTTACCTCGTCGCCATTACGCAGAGAGGGCTGGGCCAGTTCTTGGGGGAGGGGAGTAGGTCACCACATTTTTAACCTTGTCATCAGTAAGCGTAGAGGGCTGGGCCAGTTCTTGGGGGAGGAGAGTACGTCTCCACGTTTTTAACCTTGTCATCATTAAGCACAGAGGGCTGGGACAGTTCTTGGGGGAGGGGAGTAGATCACCACATTTTTAACCTTGTCACCATTAAGTAGAGAGGGCTGGACCAGTTCTTGGGGGAGGAAGTAGGTCACCACATTTTTAACCTTGTCATCATTAAGCACAGAGGGTTGGGCCAGTTCCTGGGGGAGGGAGTAGGTCACCACATTTCTTACCTTGTCATCAGTAAGCAGAGAGGGCTGGGTCAGTTCCTGGGGGAAGGGGAGAAGGTCACCTTATTTTTACCTTGTTGCCATTAAGTGGAACAGCATTGGGCTTTTGGTTTTAAGACATTGTATTATGAATCAGTTTGTAAACAAGAAGCGTACAGGTTACATTTGCTGATAAGGTTTTATTCCCATGGCATCGAATTAGAGAAATTGCCAGTATATCTGCTGACTAACAGATACTTAACGCTTGTGGTTAAATGTGGGCCAAAGACTGCGCAATAAAGCTTGCCAGTTACTGCTCATTCGGATACATTTTGAGACATGTGTTGACTGCACGTAATAGTGAAATTGCTTATTTTTGCAGATGAGGTTGTTTCATGTTTTGAAAAGATGGAGTGATGGGAAAGAGAAAAAAAATGCAGCAAGATGACAAAAACAGGTGAGATCTTTTGAACTTGTTTAAATGTCCTTGTATATAGCAGTACTAAATGACAGGATGGAAGAATTTTTGTTGTTCATTTTCACACTTAACATTCCACCCCTTTAAAGTCCTTGAATTCATTACCGATCCAAAACAAGTTAGAAACCCTTAACCTAAAATTTATCACGAACTTGTGTATGTTCTATGTGTTTACTTGCTACTAAACTATAAGCTGGCTGAACATTATGGATGAACATTATTAAAATCTCCATGGAATCCAGTATTTCAATATTTATTGAGATACAAATATTATTGACATGTAGCAGCTGATTCACGGTTCCCTTGTACTAACTTAGAATGATGGTAACTTGTAGACAAACAACCCTGAATTTATTGGATTTGGAACACAAGATGAAAACAAAGAAGTCTCATTTAAAATAAGGTAAGAAATTATGAGTTTATCATTATATGTCACAGGCTAAATGGTCTATGATAGCAAAAGGCTATCTAAACTCATGTATATAAGGACGCTTAAATACCATGGACAAATTTACATGACAGGGCAAACGAATACCGTCAACAACTGTTAAGAATGAATACAGTCAACAACTAGCACAATTGAGTACCAGCTGGACAACTAAATGCCCTGAATAAACATATACAATACAGCCAACAACCGCACACAACTGGACAACTGAATACAGTCAACAACTGTACACTACAGAGCAACTGAATACATTTGACTACTGAAAACAAAAGGACAACTACCCTTAACAAAATTTCTACCCTGTAACAGCTCTGTAGCATCACTGGAACAGGGTTGTAAAACTAACCTGTGTCAACCCTGTTACAGCTCGTCATTTGGCACAGTTAGCAAGGCTGTTTCTACACTGTAGCAGCCTTGGACCAGCCCTGTCACGTTTAATGCAAAATTTCTTAGTAGACACCCTGTAACGCCATGTTACAACCCCGTTTCCACCCTGTGATGGACATTCCTGCCACAGCTCGTGAATTGGCACAGTTAGCAAGGCTGTTTTTACACTGTGGCATTCCTTTAACAGCCTTGGTACAGGTTTCATGCATCACAACCCTGTTACAACTTGTTAAGTGGCAGTTAACAAGGCTGTTTTTTTTACCAGGTGCCAATGTTGTGATACTCCCTCTCACACAATATCTACACTTTAGACAGCAGCCGTTTAACTTCTATACAGTAGGATTATAGTACTATCAGAACATGATTTTTTATAACTTCATATCTATTAAAGCTGAAACTTCACCTTTTTTAGGCATATTTGAATTCATGAAAATTCCTGAAGCCAATGAACGATTTGCGCCACAAAAAGCTTCAAAGTTGAACCACCAACGGCTGGTTTAGTCCGTTTAGTCACTTAAGTAACAAGAACAATGCATTTCAACAAACATACATTGAAAGAACACTTTCAATAAAGGAAAACAGTAAATACAGTCAATTAAGAACTTAACGTTACTTTATTTTTCACTTGCCCATGTTACAGTGTGTAAAAATATAAACAGAACAAAATTTGAACTGCATGCAACAGTCTGATCTGGCTTGTAAACATCTTGTCATAGTTGCTTGATTTAATGTACAACTAGCACGTCAAAATGCCGACTTTACAATAACTGTCTCAAAAAACAAAAAAACAACGATTTTTGTCAGCAATTATAAGAGATGAAACGTGGAATTGTTCCATTGTAACAACGGTTCCGATTTTGACAGTTTATAATAATTCTTTTGTCTGGTTCGTCGTAACAAGGCTTAATTTGAAATCGCTCACCTCGATCGTCTTTCCTTCATGATCCACAATTTGTTACATTTCCTCATGAAAAGAGCCAATCCATTTGTGTTTCAGTTGTTGCTGCATTATTTCTAGGGAGGGCAAACAATCTTTGAATCTTGCAAGTGCCGCGGAATGTTTTCTGTCCACTAGATCGATCTGTTTCCCATTCGTTGAAAGCTGGTCAAAACACAGTTATTTTTTTGCTAATACTTTTTCACTCTCTGCCTCAAAAGCAGCAAAAAACGCTCTACAGTCTTTTTGAATCCAAACTGGATGCAGAAAACGTTTGAATATTTTCGCCTTGATTCAAATGATCGTGAGTTGTTTCAGGAATGAAGATGTGTAATGCGATCTTCCGGTAACAGTGCTGACCAATAAGATTAAGGTCTTGGATTTCTCCAGGGAATTACTGATTGCGTGTCTGTCACAGAATGAAAATATTGAAGTTCCCTCGACAAAGAATTTAATTCCATGCTTGCAGAGGTCTCTCACGCAAGAAAACAAATTGAAGTGATCTAAAAGTCTTTCATTTTTAGTACTGTAAACAGTAATTAAGTTTCGGCGTTTTTTTTATTTAAAAGAACAGGAAGAACAGGAGCTGATGAAATAGGTGTTTGTAAAAGTGGTAAGTTTATCATAAGAAGGTCTTCGTTTTTAACATGAGATAAAAGTCTTATAAAATATAAAGAAAGCAACTTCAAACTACAAAGGTAGCCACAAAATCGGTAATTAATTAATGTTAGTATCAATGAAAAAAAAAAAAAGAAAAAACGAAGCAAATCCAAACAAAACCAAAAACAGCATATTTAAAAAAAAAAAAATTTTAAAAAGGTGTACAATAATCGTGTTTGATGATTTAGCGATACCATTTTCACCAAGTTCTTTTTCGTTTTACTTGTTATTAATGATCTAGCTGACCGTCGCACCTTTTAACACTTTTAGACTTTGAAAAATATTGCCATCTTTCTATTGATTTATGGAGTTTAGCGTACTTGGCTACATTGTTACTGCCCTTTGATTATTATCCATTGTGTGAACAGAAATAGACATCTCAGCTCTGCAGTAACGTGGTTACTGTCAAATGTACCTAACACAGCCATTCTGCATCCCTGTCCTAGTTCTTCTGCATTATTAGGTAGCCCTGTCTTAACCCTGTTACGGTAACTGGATATTTTCACAGCCATGTAGCAGGCTTGTTACACTTAACTATGTACACTTTTACAGCCCTGTCACAGCTCCACTTGTTTTAACTCAAGTACGTTGCAGCTGTGTCACACCCCTGTTTCAGCCAGTTTACAGCCCTGAAATAACGCAAACAGGGCTGGAAACAGGATTTTACAGGGCTCTCACAGGGTTTTTGCAGGGTAGAATTTTTTCTAAGGGTAATTACAATCAACTACAGGACACAGCTGGACAACCGAATGCAGTCAGCAAATGACCCAGCAGAAGAAGTGAATACAGTCAAAAAACTTACACCAGCAATTAAATACAGATAACAACAGTGCACAGTTAAACAACAACCGGACAACTAAATACCCTGAAAAAACATACAATACAGTTAACAGCTGGACAACTGAATACAGTCAACAATTGTACACAACTGGACGACTGAATACAGTCATCAACTGTAAACAACGGGACAACTGAATACAGTCAAGGACTGTAAACAACAGGACAACTGAATACAATCAACAACTGTACACAACTGAACAACTAAATACAGTCAACAACTGTACACAACTGGACAACTGAATACAGTCAACAGCTGTACACAACTGGAAAACTGAATACAGTCAACGACTGTAAACAACAGGACAACTGAATACAATCAACAACTGTACACAACTGAACAACTAAATACAGTCAACAACTGTACACAACTGGACAACTGAATACAGTCAACAGCTGTACACAACTGGAAAACTGAATACAGTCACCAACTGTACACAACCGGGTTCAACCGGGGGCTGAACCCCCTCAATAAGTCGCACAAATTAAATTAAACGAAACTATTCGAAAATAGTTTATGGGAGTAAATTAAATTGACGGCTGTTTTTTTCTGACCAGGTATCTTTGAACATCATAGAAATGGTGGCCATCAGAAGGACAAGAAGAATTCTTCTGAAAAATGGTGAGTTTTTTTATTAGCAATCACCGGGTGATAAGTTATGACTAAACAGAACAGCATTCACTTAGCTTGTGTGTAGATTTTCCATCACTGAAAAGGGAAAATGTAGATGCAGTTAAAGTCTAGTGTCATGGGAGAGGAATTTCTTTTATACAACATAAGAGGAAAAGAGTCAGAGAAAATATAGCTACTTCGTTAATGTTACATCTCTTTCTCGGGCACTGCTTACGTGGCCTAGTGGGTAAGTTCGCTTTCTTTAAATTAAACACATGTCGGCCGCTTCTTCCCTGTCGTTGTTTAATTTAGTTTGGATGACTTTTTGAGGTGGTTTGGCTCCCGGTTGAACCTCCGTTGTCGGGCCATTTTACTTTTTTTTATTCAAGTTCCTAGAAAAATTTTGACTTTTAATTCTTTTTTGCCTTTTTTCTTCTTCTTTTTAATCAGCAAGAGAGTTCTATTATTTTAGACTCTTTTCTTGGTTAAAGAAGAAGAAAAAAAGGCGAAAAAAAATTTTAAGTCAAAGTTTTTTCTAAGAATTTGAAGAAAAAAAAGTAAAATGGCCCGACAACGGGGGTTCAACCGGGGGCTGAACCCCCTTGATAAGTCACTCAAACTAAATTAAACGGCGGCAGGGGGGAAGCGGCCGCCTTGTGTTTAATTTAAAGAAAGTGAACTTATCCACTAGGCCACGCAAGCGTTGCCTGAGAAAGAGGTGCAAAATTAACCTAGAAGTAGGTACAGGCTCTATTGTTCTCAGTAAATAACGTTGATTAGTCATAATTTATTCACATCCCGTGCGGAATGTCAGTGCGTGAAGAATGTTTATCGCTTTGTAGAATATTCAATGATTTTAGGTCGTAAACACCATGTAATATGAGCGAAATGTTGAATTTTCTTTTTTTCTGTTTCTAGTGATCCACACGGCTACAAGAGAAGAAGAGACTTTCAAGATTCTTTTTAAGAAATCACAGAAGAAAAGAAATAAAGTTATAACTTTACTGTCGTTGTTTCATAGAATATAGGACAAACGAATAAGTCTTCGAATAAGTGTTGATAATGTAAACTAGTATCTGAATGCTGTATGAAAGCAGTGAAGTTTACAGTTGATGTTACTTGACTACTTTCAGATACTAGTTTACATTATCAGAAGTTATAAAAAGACTTTCTTGTTTATTCTTGACAGAATAGTTGACTTTGAAATACTATAGTGTTCTACACTTAGTCAAAATCTTAGTTGACTTTGAAATACTATAGTGTTCTACACTTAGTCAAAATCTTAGTTGACTTTGAAATACTATAGTGTTCTACACTTAGTCAAAATCTTAGTTGACTTTGAAATACTATACTGTTCTACACTTAGTCAAAATCTTAGTTGACTTTGAAATACTATAGTGTTCTACACTTAGTCAAAATCTTAGTTGACTTTCAAATACTATACTGTTCTACACTTAGTCAAAATCTTAGTTGACTTTGAAATACTATAGTGTTCTACACTTAGTCAAAATCTTAGTTGACTTTGAAATACTATACTGTTCTACACTTAGTCAAAATCTTAGTTGACTTTGAAATACTATAGTGTTCTACACTTAGTCAAAATCTTAGTTGACTTTCAAATACTATACTGTTCTACACTTAGTCAAAATCTTAGTTGACTTTCAAATACTATAGTGTTCTACACTTAGTCAAAATCTTAGTTGACTTTGAAATACTATAGTGTTCTACACTTAGTCAAAATCTTAGTTGACTTTGAAATACTATAGTGTTCTACACTTAGTCAAAATCTTAGTTGACTTTCAAATACTATACTGTTCTACACTTAGTCAAAATCTTAGTTGACTTTCAAATACTATACTGTTCTACACTTAGTCAAAATCTTAGTTGACTTTCAAATACTATACTGTTCTACACTTAGTCAAAATCTTAGTTCACTTTCAAATACTATAGTGTTCTACACTTAGTCAAAATCTTAGTTGACTTTCAAATACTATACTGTTCTACACTTAGTCAAAATCTTAGTTGACTTTCAAATACTATACTGTTCTACACTTAGTCAAAATCTTAGTTGACTTTCAAATACTATACTGTTCTACACTTAGTCAAAATCTTAGTTGACTTTCAAATACTATACTGTTCTACACTTCGTCAAAATCTTAGTTCACTTTCAAATACTATACTGTTCTACACTTCGTCAAAATCTTAGTTCACTTTCAAATACTATACTGTTCTACACTTAGTCAAAATCTTAGTTCACTTTCAAATACTATACTGTTCTACACTTAGTCAAAATCTTAGTTCACTTTCAAATACTATACTGTTCTACACTTAGTCAAAATCTTAGTTCACTTTCAAATACTATACTGTTCTACACTTAGTCAAAATCTTAGTTCACTTTCAAATACTATACTGTTCTACACTTAGTCAAAATCTTAGTTCACTTTCAAATACTATACTGTTCTACACTTAGTCAAAATCTTAGTTCACTTTCAAATACTATACTGTTCTACACTTAGTCAAAATCTTAGTTCACTTTCAAATACTATACTGTTCTACACTTAGTCAAAATCTTAGTTCACTTTCAAATACTATACTGTTCTACACTTAGTCAAAATCTTAGTTCACTTTCAAATACTATACTGTTCTACACTTTGTCAAAATCTTAGTTGACTTTCAAATACTATACTGTTCTACACTTTGTCAAAATCTTAGTTCGACATTTTCGTTCGCTTTTAGCTAGTACTATATTGTTCGACACATCAATAAACCAGTCAAAATCTTTAAAATGTATCAAACTTTAATAACAATTCACAACGCTTTTCTTCTTCGCGATCCATACTGTAAATAGGTTTCTGTAGCCATGGAGTCTTCACAACGCTGCACCTGAAAATGATGTAAAAGCGTAACAAAAAAACGTGAACTAACTTGTACACTAAGCTACCCACTGTACTTCGTCATACTCTTTCGAACAGAATTTAAAGTCAAACACTTGTTGACAAAAACGTGGTCTCAATAACAAATCGTTTTTGAATATTTAAGTTGTTTTGCACGGCTTATGAATAAATTATGACTAGCAAAAGTGATCACCGAATAAAATAAATCTACCGACACACTCAATTGCTCTTCAAGAACTTCTACTCTAATACAACCAACTGGTTAAAATCCTACTCTCCTTAAATGTTTTGACGCTGCAAGTAGCTTGAGATCCCGTTGAAGTTGCGAATATTCAAGAAACTTGTTTTAGGTTTTTGGACTTTGTTTTGCAAATAAGAAAACATTCCGCACGTGAAATGAATAAATTATGACTAATCAACGTGATTCACTGAGAACAATAGAGCCTGTACCTACTTCTAGGTTAATTTTGCACCTCTTTCTCAGGCAACGCTTGCGTGGCCTAGTGGATAAGCTCACTTTCATTAAATTAAACACAAGGCGGCCGCTTCCCCCCTGCCGCCGTTTAATTTAATTTGGGTGACTTATCAAGGGGGTTCAGCCCCCGGTTGAACCCCCGTTGTCGGGCCATTTTACTTTTTTTTCTTCGAATTGTTAGAAAAAACTTTGACTTAAAATTTTTTTTCGCCTTTTTTTCTTCTTTAACCAAGAAAAGAGTCTCAAATAATAGAACTCTCTTGCTGATTAAAAAGAAGAAGAAAAAAGGCAAAAAAAAATTAAAAGTCAAAATTTTTCTAGGAACTTAAAGAAAAAAAAGTAAAATGGCCCGACAACGGAGGTTCAACCGGGAGCTAAACCACCTCAATAAGTCATCCAAACTAAATTAAACAACGACAGGGAAGAAGCGGCCGACATATGTTCAATTTAAAGAAAGCGAACTTGCCCACTAAGCCACGCAAGCGGTGCCTGAGAAAGAGGTGTAACATTAACGAAGTAGCTATGTTTTCTCTGACTCTTTTCCTCTTATGTTGTTTAAAAGAAATTCCTCTCCCATGACACTAGACATTAACTGCATCTACGTTTTCCCTTTTCAGTGATGGAAAATCTACACACCTGCTCAGTGAATGCTGTTCTGTTTAGTCATATGTTATCACCCGGTGAATAAATAAACTCACCTTTTTTCAGAAGAATTCTTCTCTTCCTTCTGATGGCCACCATTTCTATGATGTTCAAAGATACCTGGTCACAAAAAAACAGCCGTTAATTAATTTAACCCCATAAACTGTTTTCGAATAAGGATTCTTACAATAAATACATCACAAAGAAAAAACTTCCTTAGAAATCGCCAGAGTAATCCTTGAATCTGAAAGAAAGGCCCCCTAAGGCTGATTTTTTTCCTGTCAAAATTGTCATTTAAAAGTATGTGCACATTCATATTTAGTACTGCATCACACTTATTTTCAAGCTCTCACTGACATGTTTTTTCAAGGTTTTTTGACTACTCTAAGTAACAAAACATCTACAATAGCAGTAAGGGTTAAACTAAAATACTTTTTTAACTACAGTAAGCAACCAGTACTTGAAACTGCTTCAATGGCAAGGAATGGTGTGAATTAGTTAGACATTAAAGTCCAACTATACCCACCACCAGTAATGAGGCACAGATGACCCGTGAACAGCGAACAGTTACGGTTTAATGGCAGCAACTCAGTTAAAATAATACGGCCAGCAAGCGCATGAAAGAACGACAAGAAAAAAGAGAGCACCTGCTCGCCTAACAACGCCCACTGGAGCATCACCTTTTTTCAACAAACAAACGAGCAGAAGTATCCTAGAAATACCAACACCTCCATCCACATTAAGTGGCAGATTGTCTCACAGTTCACAAAGTCAATCCCCCCTTATCCTAGGCAGTCCGAATCCCTACTTTGGAAGTGTAGACCCTGAGCCAGCGGTGATTGGTGACTTGGGCGATCTCAGCTGCACGAAGAAGACAAGGTAGATGTAGGAGCCAGAGAATGGGAGTAGCTTGTTACATCTGGAGGAAAGGCTTGTGGGTACTTGGGTTGGCATGAAAGGAGTCTGAAGAGTCTGGACTGTGTGGCCGAGGTAGCTCAGGTGGAGCGACGAGTGGCTAACAACAGAGAAGAGATGCAAAGGTAGAGCCGCAGTCACCATCGTAATCATGGGAAGCTGATGGTACGACAGTTGGGAGTACACCGTAACACTTAGATAATTTGATTTTGTACAATGTCGCGGAGTTGGGAACCAGAGAATTTTTTATCGAAACACCACTCTCTATCGATGCGGGCAATGATGTACTTTGTGCAAGCTTGTGACACATACCGGTCAGATTTTATGTATACGACCTCCAACTTTTAGAGGAGCTGAAGTCTTTAATGAGTCATGGCATCCTTTGGCTTTTTTGCCGTATGGATGGTTCCTTTGGCAGTCGGTGTGGTTTGCTATGATGTGCTGCATGTTGGACACAGGTACCTGCTTGTGAGTGAACTGGTTTTATTGCCTCCAAATCTCACCGGCGAAAGCCTTGTATTTGGAGTTGCAAGTTTAAACGGACTGTAGCTACATCAAGCCATAGTTCAGCAACATGGCTCTCACGACGCTCTGGGCATAAGAGACCCGTTTTCAAGTACTGCCTATACAACAACAGGATTTTCTTGACAGTTCAATCTGGCCGACTTCAATGGGAAAACCAAGGTTTCTTCGAGCACTGGTGTTCATTCGCGAGACAAATCCAGGTGCAAGGTCAACATGTATTACTGCGGTGGGACCATCCAAGTGGTGTAGGGCTACGACCAGCCTGACAAGGGCATCACAAAGAAGTGTCACCTTTATTATCAGGTACTATGCACAATACAGTGAAGGAGGTGCTACATTCTTTCAAGCAGGATGGTGACATCAGCTGCAAATGACACACCCACGATTTCAGTTGGATCATCTGATGTCTGGATGGTGAGGGTATCTTGGAACTTTTAGAGGCGCAGGTGTGGCAGGAATCTGACACGCAAGTGATGGCGGTGATTATATCAAGAGCAACTGGCGCTGTAACATCATTTGAAGCTGGTGCTTTGAAAGGTGGTCAAGAATGTAGCATGGTACCACGATCATTTCAGTGAGGGGCGACAGTTGTTACTGATGTTGCAAGACTAACCATCGTTAGAAATCATAGCGATGTTCAGATACTGCATTACGTCTTTTTTATGTGAGTTACTGTCTTCGACAGACAGTCCTTGTTTCAGGTGGGCGCAGATGTGGCATAAATTAGGGTACTCATTTTGGACACTAAACCATGCGGGCCTGATGGTGAATGGTAGATGCTTGCCATTCTCTCAATGTCTTGGAAAAACACACTAAGTATTACGATAGAATTCTCAGTTTCAAGAATGAAGGAGCAGATTACACAAAGGGGTGCATTTCGGTCAGAAGTGTTTCGGCTGGCAAAGTCAGAGGGTAAATTTGCACTGCCTGCGAGGTGTTGCAGACTCAGTTGATATCTACAGAGAGCGATTAGGAAAGACGTAAAGCGGGGTCGGCAGAAAACTCTCCTCGGCATAGCTTGTTGATGACCTGGACGCTGGGTTGGCTGTCTGTCACAACACATGTACAGTTTTTTGACTGGATGATGACCGGGCTAAAGTTTTTGACAGAAGCAGCAATACTCAGTGCTTCCACTTCACATGGTAACCATGTTCCTTGGTGCTTACGCAGCTTTGTGCTGTAGAGGACCGCTTGGTGTAGATGGCTGTTGCGTTTAACATACAGAGTAGCACTATGAGAGGTATGAACCCAGGAGTCACTTCATAGGTAGGTGAGGCATGATTGTCCTTGTAATTGTAGTCCTGAATAGGACTGTTGTACATTTCCACAACTTGTGCAGTAGTCGTCTTCAGTTTCAAAGAGTTGTATAACGTCAGAAATTAAACTCTGGTTATTGACCTGATTGCACAATTATGTTATGATGTCAATGGTGCATTTTGATCCATCTGTTGGTGACAGTTGAACAGTCAGTTATGGTAAGTCAAGTTGTCGGTTATCCAGTCAGTCTGTTGTTATCAGCTTTGCATAAGCAGATCTATAAGTAAGTCGTTTGTACAGCGCTGGTACAGCTGACTGCAATTCAGTGGTATTTTGTTTTAAGTCAGTAACCAGCTTTCTAAAGTGAGTCCATAGTAATCTGTAAAATATGTTAAGCATGTCGCAGAGTCCCAGTCAATTTGAAGTTTCGTCTGTAAATGGTGGTCAGCAATGTGATTGTTGACATCACTATTATTCTCTTGCCGCATGCTACGCTTTCTTCTGGCATCACTAATGTGAGTGGCCTGGCAGTTGCAGCAATTGATCTGGCATACTGCTAGCTGTCTGTCCTCCGGTCTGTCTTTGTCCTTGACATTCGTAAGCAGTTGTTGTAAAGTGGTTATTGGTTTGTGTCCAACACATACACCTATTTCAATTAAGGTTACTCCCGTGAACCATGTTTCATAGCCTGCAGTGTACTATATGGTAATTCCTTGTGTAGCGGGAAGTTTAGTCTTGTTCACGTACATTGAAATAATGGAGACCATTTGTGAAAAGGCATTCAAGAGAGCTTTCAAGTCAAATACCTGCTAAAATTCTTAAGCATGAGCGAGCTGAAAATTTTCATTTTTAAAATCTCATAGTAAAAAATTAGAAGCCTCTTCTTTTAACAACATTAAATGAATAGGTTTTACCGCCTGATTAAGCTGCGTTTTTGCATGGGTCAGAATACTGGTTATTTCAATAAAGCAAATTAACGCTATTCTTTTTTCATTCAGTTTTAAAAAAATTGCCTCGAAAACAGATAAACATGTAATGTTAAGTTATTTATCGTTGTTCAACAAACGCCTTGAATTTGATTTTTTTAGCTCCATCCAAAATTCTCATGTGCACGAGCCAAGCAAACTTGTTGAAAATTTGCAGCATTTGCATATCAGCAAAGAGAAAAACCTAAGCTCAAATCACTGTCTTAAGTTAAAAAGCCTAGGATTCAGTGTTTTCAAATACATGGTCTTAACGTTCTGCTGACATAGCATAGAGACGTTAGAAGCGTTTGCTTTCTAGGTTTCTAGACTCGTTGCGGGCACATAATTTACTAGACTTGCTACAATAATGCACTGCGGCCAATGAAACATGGATCATGCATCATTCTTCTTAGAAGCAACCCTAATTGAAATAGGTGTATGTGGTAAGGTTGTGGTATACATGTGATAGTTACAGAGGTACATCTGATGTACACAGGTAACAGGCCAGAATCAACATTAGTCTGAGTGTTGGAATTGGCATTACTGAGAGTGTTCCATCTAACATAATCCGCGTTGTATTTGCTTTTACTAAAAATGTTGGTTAGGTAGTCAGTTGGACTCGTAGGCTGTCAGGTAAGTCGCAAACTAGTTTCACTAGTCGTGTCAAAGTCTGTATGCTGTGTCCTTGTGAGACGTCAGGTTGTAAGATGACTGGTTTAGGAATCTATTGCATGTATACTACAACCTTACAACATACACCTTGCACACATACACAAAATACAACTCACTTTGACTCCAAAGATGACAACCTCACAGGTTGTAGAAACGTCAGTCACTGTCAACAACAGTCCTATTCAGGACTATGATTACCCGGACGATCATGCTCCACCCACTTATTTAGAGTAGCACCAAGACTGCATTTAGTTAACCATCAGTCACAATCCAAAGTTGGTTGGATGGGTGTGACAGCAGAGTAAGGCAGCACATGGCTTAAGACCTTGCAGGCACTGATGAAAAAAGTTAGACCCTTGACAGACTCAGGGAGGAGGGCAGCTAGTGAGTGCAGCAATACGATAGGGACTACCTGAGAGTACACCTTGGGACAAAATCCCAAACACGATAGATGTTGATTAGTGGCAGACAGACAAAGACTGCAGTCGCTAGGGGTCTCGAGTAAGTGGGACCAGTTAGAGAGGAGCTCTTCAGGTGAGTCGCCTTGACAATAATCATCAGCAAGCTTTGTGTACATCCCTTCTGAATGAAGTCGGCCAGGACGCGACACAATATTTCTAATGCAGTCTCTGAGCAAGGTAATCCCATGACTGATCTTGTGTACACTCTGATGCCACGAAATAGGATGGCAACACCACAGTATTTCATGGAAGCCTTGGATAGAGGTATCTGGTAAAAGGAACACATGAGATCTGACTGTATTATGTACTTCCATGGAGAAATAGTGTGAAGGGTGGAGTCGACGTCTGGCAACAACAAGGGTTGAAGTTTGCTGTATCAACCAACTTTGGCAAAGGCGGTAACAAGATGACATCCCCCAGATGACTTTCTGGCAAGCAAGAATGAGGTTGAGGTATTCCACGTTACGGAGGCTTGCACCCTCTCTTTAAAGTCTCACTGCTTTGTGTTTGATGCTCCACAATTTTGGCTGTAGATCAATTATGAAAAAGCCCCAAAGTGAAACAAAATTAAGCTCAATTTCAGACTATGTTTTGTTGACATAGACACTTTCATAGCAACAGAATAACAATGACAAGAAATCAACAAATGGGAATTTTCTTGAAACCTACCAACAACCTGTTACAATCCTGTAGTGTACTAATTGTTTAGACCGTTCTCTTTACTTTTAACAATTTGCCACTTTGACAAATAGCAAGGTTGAGCTATGTGAATTATATGAATAACTGAATCAAATGAAGCGTTGTAAGAAGAATCAATAGAATTTGACAGAAGCAGTGAGCCATGCTGCACGCAAATAATTAAGTGGAAACACACAAGCAACAGACATAACCCTAAACAAGTAAACTAGCAAACAATAGCATTCACAACGCCGGGCGCTAAAATTCATCATGAAATTGATTTTACTTCAATAATAATAAAAAAAAAAATTCTTTTGCATGAAAATGATTAGCAATGCTTAAATTCTCAAAGAACCATTTTTAAAAAAAAAAAAATTATCCAGTAATTTTTAAACTGCAGCTTTTAAACCAAAGTTGACATCTTTTGGTGCTTACATGAAAAATATATCTCATGAGTAAGAATAGAAAAATGCGTGATCACAAAGCTTGATTGCTTGCCAATTTTCACTATTGAAGAACTGAACCACACCTTAAGCCATGTATGTAAATATGGATTGTACTGGCACCATAAATAATCATTTATGATGATCAAACACAAATGGTGAAAAAGACCTTTTTTGGGATGCAAAAATAATTGTTAGGACATTATATTTTAAAAACGCTCTCACAGATTTTTTTTTTCAAATCTTGCGAAGGAAAAAACAATGGTCTCAACTATTAGCACTCTAAAGGATTTTAACAGATTGCTGCTAGACTCTGAGAAAATTACAATTTGTAGATTTCACGTCATCATTATTCTGTTGCTATGGAAGCGGCATGTTAATAAAACATACTCTAACATTAAGTTTAATGTTAAATTTTTTTCACTTTGTGGCCTTTTCGTAGATGTACTACAGCCAAAGTTTTGAAGTATCTAACATGAAGGGGTGAGACCTTCAAAAATAAGTGCGAGCCTCCTTAATTCTGACCTCCTAAGGATGATGGAAGACTTGGAATTGTTCCAGTTAGTCAAATTTCTTTTGCAACGCTACTCTAGTGGCAGTAATGACGGACACGGCCATTACATTGTGGGGGTTGTACAAGACACATATTGACAGTGGCTTCAATGGGGCTGGCAGTGCTGTATATCCTACAATAGTCAGATTTAAGACATCTTGATGGGCCCGGAGCACTTGACGAAACAGGTTGTGTACTCTGTCATGTAAGATGTGGTCAGAGTCAACTCTGACTGCATCCAAAAAGAAACCAGACTGGTGTATTTGGCTCCTGCTACAGCAGGGAGGAGGAGGTAGGTGAGATGCTGCTGGAACAAAATGAGGAGTCCATGGCTGTGATGAGATGTACTTTACAGAGGTGTTCATGACGACGGATGGTTTGCAGATCGTTGGTATTGTTAGCTACGCGAACCTTGTTATCCAAGGCTTCAGTAATGTGAGGCTGAGGCCAGAGCTGTGAGACCTTGGGTGTATTGGTTTGATAGTGCATCGCTATGGGCCCTCTATGGCTACAGTGCAGTCAGGGCCTAAGATGTCTCCAGGCTTCGAGCAAAGTTACTGTCTTGCATTTCGTTAGGGACCACTATTCAGGTGCAAGAGGATTCATGGCAGCATGCTGACAAAGAGAAGATGGGTTATGTGTACTTAGCTTCGAGTTCTTGAGTGGAGTAACTGAAGGAACGGCTGGGGTCTGGGCTGCTTCACCATCTCCTCATATGAGCTGGCTTTCTCCTTGGAGGAGACGCGGATACAAATGTCAGATGCCACCATACCAGTTATGATGAAAAGACAACCCATGAACAGTGAACAGCTACAATAATATGACCGCCAAGCACAAGAGAACAACAATGAAGCATAAGGCCCATGCTCCCCTAACAACACCCGCTGACATAGTACTTGAAAGGGTTACAATGGCAAGGAATGATGTGAATTGGTTCAACATTAAAGCCCCACCATACTCATAGTGGTTTGTGATCACCAATTTTCCTTACACTGGAGTACTGCCTAGAAACATAAATAACACCCCAACTTACCATATTGTCTAGTCCACCTCATCACTGAGTCCTCTTGAGCTTGACATCTGACAAAAAAAGACAGTTATATTAGGACAGCAAAGTTGATCATAGTTGTTTGCATAGCTTGGTATTCACCACTGAAGTTTATACTCTAGAGTTTATACTCTACCCACTTGTTTTGTTTTGTGTGTGTGCATACTTAGTCTTCCGCTTGTCTTGTCATCTGTGAGTGGTTAATACTTTACATACTCATTATTCTAATTGTAAAAAAAATTGCA